TTTGAGGTTTTTTTAAATGTTGGGGAAGAAAGGGGAGGGGGTTTATTTCTTGCCGGGCCCAGGGAGGTATCCCATCTTTTGGGAGTAAAGAAAAAGAGAATGAAAGTGTGGGGGGAGGTACTTTGGGGGCATTACGTAGAAAAAAGGGGGGGAAAGCAGCTGGAACTGATGGGATCATGACAAAAATTTTGTTAAAAGCGGGGAAAAGGATATGTGTTGGAGGGGGGTTGGTTTTTTGGGGTTTTTTTTAAATGTATGAAAGAGGGGAAGGTTACCTGGGGTTGGCGGGGGCATGTATGGGCCCCTTTTATATAAAGGGAAGGGGGAAAAAAGGAGTTTGAAAAAATTTTATAGGGGAAATTTAAGTTTACTGAGTATCCCAGGAAAAGTATTGGGTTTGGGTTATAATTGAAAGAATTAGAGGGAAAGACAAAATTTTGGATTGCGGATGAGCGGGAAGGCTTCAGAGTGGGTAGGGGATGTTTTAGATAAGTTTTTAAACTTTGAAGCAAATTGTGAACAGTATTTAGTAAAGGTAGGGAAGTTTTTTTTGGGCATTTATGGTTTTAGAAAAAGCATTTGTAGAGTGGATAGAGGAGAAATGTGGCAGTTTCTTGGCAAGATATGGAAAAAAGGTGGTAAGTTACTAAATTGGTTAAAGAGTTTTTTTGGGGGATAGCGGGCCGGTTTTGGGTGTGTTGGAAGGGACGGGGGGGGTTTTTACCCCCCGGGTTTAAAAAGTAGATCTTAGAAGGGATTTTAATGTCACCAGGGTTTGGGTTTAATATATTTTGGGAGGGGGTTTTTGAAAAAGAAGTAAATGGGGGGTGTTCGGGGAGGGGGTGGGATTTTTTTAAAGGGGGGAATCAAATTCAAAAGGGAAAAATTGCACAGTTACTTTTTGCTGATGATACGTGTTTAGGGGAATTTAAAAAAAAATTTTTGAAAAGGTTTTTGGGGTTTTGGAGTTTGAAAATGTGTGTAAAAGGTAAAAAGTTAAAAAGGTAAACATAAAAAAAGAGAAAGGGTGTTTGGGGGTTTATAAAATGATTTAGTTAAAAAAAAAAATTGGGAATATCAAATTGGGGGGGGATATGGAAGAAGTGAACTTTTTCAGATATTTGGGGAGTTGACGTGGGGCCCAAAAAGGGGGATTTTTGAAGGATGAGGTTAATCATAGAATTGTTGGGGGAAAAAAAAAAAGGTGAGTGGTTGCATTGAGGTATATGTGGAGTAAAAAAAAACGTTTCTTGGGGGCAAAGAAGGGATGTATAAAAGTTTATAGTCCCAAAACACTCTTATATGGTTGTAAAAGCTTGGGGGGAAAATTGCACCCGCGAGGAGGGGGTTGGGGGCAGGGGGAGTTCCTTTAAAGGGGCCCAAGGGTGTGGTTTAAATATTTTGCAAAAAAATTCGGAGGGTTGGGGAAAATTTAGGGGGTTTTGGGAGTTAATAAAAGCTTTTGCCCAGAGGGCAGAAGAGGGGTTTTTTGAGGTGGTTTGGTCATTTGAGAAAAGGGATAAAAGTAGAATGCTTGGAAAGCATATAAACTATAGGGGAAAAAAAGGGGGGGGGTGGGGGTCGTTTCAAAAGGGGGTTTTGGAAAAAAGGGGGGGTTTAAAAGGAGATTTTGTGGGCGGGGGGCTTGGATTTCCCAAAGAAAAGCATGCATGGAGGCTTTTTTGATAGGAGTGAATGGAGACAAAATGATACTTGGGCCCTGGATCTTTTGGAGTGTGGCAGGGTAAAAATTTAGTGAAGGGATTCGGGGAAAAACGGTTTTTTTTCATATAGTTGGATTGATTTCCGGGAAAATGGGAAGTAAAATTCCCGGGCATTTTAAAAGGGGGGGGGTTTGGGATATTGGCAGTTTGGAGGGATTTGTTGTTTTTTTTCAAAGTTTTTTCCAAAAATTTTACATTTTTAAAAAAATTTTTTTTGGATTTTTTACTTTATAAAATTATTTTACAATTACCCTAAAACCTTAAATTAAACTTTCCCATACTTTTTTTAAACCAAAATTTAAAAAAAAAAAAAAAATTTTAATTAAAATTTGGTTTAAAACCCCTTAAAAAAAATAATACAAAAATTTTTTTTCCAAAATTTAAAATGCTTTTTTTCCATTATAAAACAAATTTTCCACTCTTTTAAATTATTTTTTTAAATAATTAAAAATTTTTTTTTAAAATTTATCATAAAAACAATTTTAAAATTTTTTTAAACCCAAAACCCAAATTAAAATTCTTTTAAAAAATTTAATTCCCCCTTTCCCAAAATAATTAAAATTTCCCCTTTTCCTTTTATTTTAAATAAAATTTCTTAATTTAAATTCCCCAAAATTTATTTTCAAATTTTTAAAAACCTTTACTATTTTAAATTTTTAAATTTAATCACCCCTTTTTTCCCCGTAAAAGGATGTTTTTTTTTTTTTCCTTTTCCCTTGTCAAACTTTAAAAAAGAAAATTTTAGGTTAAAAATTGATAATTTAAGATTTAACCCCTTAATATAATTTGGGCCCCTTAGTAGTGGGGATTTAGGATCTAAAAATATAATTTAGTTTTCTTTTTTTTGAAGGAGGGGGGGTTTTGCTCCGGGGGAATAAAAAATTGTGTATTGAAAAATTTTCACGCCGCTTTTTGTTTTATTTTTTGGTTTTAATTTGTCTCATTTAATCCCCAAACCCCCACAATTTTATAAGGGTTTTTGGATTAATTAATAAAAAATTTTAATTTTGTGGGGGGATTTTCTCACCTAAAACCAAACCCCTCCCGGGGATCCCAAACCCATTATGAATTCCTTTTTTCTTTACCCCAATATTCTAAATTTAAAAATTTTTTGTTTAAAAGGGTTTTTTCCAAAAGTTTTCCCCCAAAAATTATTTTTTTTGGTTAATGAAAGGTTGGTCAAAATCTTAATTTTTAATTTTGTTCCCAATTTTCCTCTTGTCCCAAAAACCCCCATTTATATTTTTAAATTTTTTTTGGGTTTTTTTAACTTAATGTTTATCCTTAAAATCCCCAAACCCCGGTATTTAAAAAATAAACCCCTCCCCTCATTCCAACAAGGGTTGTTTAACCCCCCCAATGAATTGGGGTGAGTGATTCATAAGCCCGGCCCCTTTAAAACAAAAATTTTAAAAATTTTACTTTTAAAGGTAAAAAAATTAAAAATAAAAATTACCCCACCCCAAAACCTATTCCCCCTTTTCCCTCCAAATTTTAAAATCCTTTGGCTATTTTTGTTTTCTTTAAGGGTCCCTCCCCCAAAATTTATTATTTAAATTTTAAGTTTAAATATAAACAATGGCAGGGCCCTTTTTAACAAAATTTCCCCTTCTTACTAAAATTTTCTTTTTATTTCCAATTTTTCAAGACCCAAAAAAAATTTTTCCAAATATATTCTTTTTTTCCCCCATTCTTTAAACAATTAAAAACCCATTTTAAATTACAATTATTTTTATTTTTTAAAATTAAACCGGCCAGGGGTTTATTAGTTTGACCCTTTTAAAAGGAAAATTTTCCTTTTTCCACCCAAAGGTTTTGGGTTTTAAACCTTGTTCGTTTAAGGGTCTTTTGGGGTCCCCCCTTTTGTTTTGGTTTTTAACCCCCGGCCTTTCCCAAGTGATCTTTAAATCAGTCTTTATTTCTTTTTAAAATATTTTTTTTTGAAATTTTTGCAAAAAAAGGCTTCCGTTTTGAAATTATGGGGGGCCCAAAGAAGTTTGGGTTTTTTTTAAATACTTTTCCCTTCTAAATCTTTTGTTTCTCCCCTAGCAAAAGCTGTTTGATTTGTTGGGGGGGGAAATTTAAGCAAAAATTTTTTTTTGGGTTTTCTTTTTTTTCCCCCTCCGCCCCCCGGTGTGGGAGCCCCGGCCCCCGACTTTATTGGAAAAAAAAAAATTTGGCAATTTTAATTTCCCCCAAAGGGAAAGGGTTTGGACCCTAAAAAAAAAATTCCCTAAAAATGTTGAAATTCCCCAAGGAGCCCAAAATAAATGAGTTTTCTCCCTGGGGGCACATAATGGTTTTTTTCTGGTGCAATTACTTCCTCTTTTGAAAAAAAACAATTTTAGTAGAATTTTTTTCTTTTACCGGTTTGGGCTGGGCTGTGGGAAAAGGGGAAAAAACCTTAGGAACTCTTCAAATGTATTTTTTGTCGGGAAAACCCAATTTGTATGTTATGTTTACACCTTTCTAAGAAAAAAAAGTAAAATTTTCTCTCTTTATGACCTGATTTTTTGGGAAAACCCTTTGAACCCCTTTTTATTTTTCAGGAGTTCTTTATGTGGCTTGTTTTTTTGCTTTAAATTTTTTGTAATCTGCCTATCTCCCATGTTCCTATTCTTGTAGGGCCCTTTTTTTAAATGTGTATATTTTAAAAAACCGGTTCCTCCTGGAATTTCCAGATTTTAAATTTTATACTTTTCTTAGGGAAAATTAAGCTAGTTTTTTTTGATCATCATTTCAAATTAAGTTCATCAGTTGTCGGGATTTTCCCGTTTCAGTATATACAGTACCTTTTATTTAATTTATGCTTGTCCAAAAACAGAATTTTAGTGGAATCTTGGGCACAGAGGTTTTCTTTTAAATACTAACCTCTGGCCCCCCTTATGAACATGGGAAATACTTTTAAAAGTGGGTCTTTCCCACCTGTGATACATTAAATGCTGCATTTTCTCAAACCCCTTTACTTATCACAAACCCAAAAGTCTCTATTAGTATGCATTAGATTGGATAAAAAACCCGCTGTTAAAGGCAAAAAAATTCTCCAAAAAGAAAACCCCGATGAATGTGCAAATATTTCTATGCCCGTACAAGGGTTTTTAATTTTTCAGTTTTAACATTTAATGTAAGGCCCGTCACTTCGTTTTTAAAAAAGCTTTCCCCAATGGGGGAAAAAGAAAAATCAGAGCTTTTAAAAAGGGGCATGGGGAAGGAAAAACCGGGTTCAGTTTCTGGATAATCAGGATTAACAAAATTTGGTTAAAAGAAAGAACTTTTCTTTGGTAAGTGTTACGAGGAGACTGGTTTGTGTTTTGGGAAGGGAATTTTGGGGCTCACCCCCAAGGGGCCATTTGGCCCGGGGGATTAAAATGGGTTGGGGTTCGCGTTTTTTTTAACTAGTCCCGGAGGGCCCTATCCATGGTCTCGTTTCCTTGACCCGTTGTATTAACCTCCATGGTAAAGGGGGAACTGGTTAATTTTTTTTTAATTTGTTTAAAACAGTAAAATTTTAAAAGGAAAATTTTTATAAAAATAAATTTTCAAAATTTAATTTTTGGAAGGGGTTTTATAATTTTAAATTTTTAAAAATGGAAAAAAAAAATAAACAAAAGAATTGGGGGGAAATTTAAAATTTTCTTTTTTAAATCCCATTAGGGGAAAATTTTGGTAAGTTAAAATTTCTGGAAAGGCTTTTTGCAAAATTGTTTTAATTTTCCCCTGGAAAATAATTATTTTGGGAAAATTTTGAATTTTTTTTTAAGGGTTTTTTTTTTTTTCTATAGTTTTTAAAAAATTTAAAAAGGATTAAAATTTAAAAAGGGGTTCCTAGGGGGGGAAAAACCCCTTAGGGTACTTAGACAAAATTAAAATAACAGGAAAAGGAAAAACAAATCCGGGGGGTTTAAAAAGCTGGGAGTTTTCTTTGGGGTTTTGGGGGGAAAATTAGAGGCTTCTTTTTATTTAGGGGAAAAAAATTTTGGTTAGGGGGGGGTAACTTTTTAAAAAATAGTAAAAGGGGCCGGGTAAAAAAAAGAAAAGTGGGATTAAGGAAATTTTAATTTTTTTTATTCATTTTAAAATAAGCCCTTTTAAGGTTTTTGAGTTAGGGAAAACCTTATCCCCCAAAATTACGAAGATTAAAGATTAATTTAAAAATGAGGAATTCAACCTAAAAAGGGGGGTTTTTTTGGGAGGGAAAAAAATTTCTTTTAGGGTTTTAAACAGGTTTTGGTTTAGTTTTTTCCAAAAACCAGGGGGAAGTTGTAACAAAGGGAAAGGGGCCTGGGGTGATTTTTACAACTTTTTTACTTTTACCCCCACAAGGATTTTTAACAGAATAAATTTGGTTTTTTCCAACATTTTAATTGGGTTTAAAAAATTTAAAAGGTTTTAAGCTTTTTTGCAGGCCAAATAATTTTTTTTACCCGGTCTCTTCCTTATTTTTATCCGGCAAAAAGGGAAAGGCCTTTTATAAAATTTTAAACCTGGGGAAAATCCTTATAATCCTCTCTTTTTAAGGAAGTCTGTGGGTTTTTTTTGGGGCCGGTTAGTTTTTACCAATTTTTCCCCCGATCGCGGTTTGGGGAACCCCACAAATGCGGAAATTTTTGGATCTTTTTGTTTTGAAAACGATCTCTTCTTTTTTTTGATTTCTTTCCCCCATTTTTCCTGGGGGGACCCTTTTTAATTTTTTTAAACCCAAAGGATTTGGGGGGAAAAAGGGGGATTGGGAAAAACCCCTTTAATGGGGGTAAAATTTTTAAACCTTTGGAAAAAGGAGGGGGGGAAAATTTTAGATTAACCTTTTCAAAAAAAAAATTTAATTTGGGGACACAATCCTGATGGATTTAAAAAAAAACTTTTAAGTTTTCTTGGGGGGGAAATTTTTTCCTGGGGGTTTGGGGTTTATTTCAATTATCCCAAAAATATTTGGAAAATTCTGAAAAAAGGATTGGGGTTTTCAAAAAACCACTAAAATTATTAAAAATAAAATGGATTTGGGGCATTAAACCAAGGGCCCCAAATTGGGGACTGGGGTTGGGTGGGTTGGGGTATAGGGTTTAAAACAAGGTAATTTTAAAAATTTTTTTAAAATGGGGGCATTTTTAAAAAATTTTGTATTTTTATATTTTTAAATGCCTTTTGTTTTTTATTCTGGGGGTTTTTGGTTTTTGTTTCATTGGTGGGGGATTGGGCTTTAGGCTTTGGGGTGGGAAAAATTGGTTTTTAAAGTTTCTTTTGGCCTTTTTGTTATTTTTTTTAAATTTCCCCACCTTAACCTAAAATGGTGTTGGGGGGTTTTTGGTGATTAAGTTTAGGAAAAGGGGGAGGGGGGGTCTTAAAAAATAAAACATTTTGGGGGGAACATTAAGTGGATTGGGGAAAGGGGGGCCGGTTTTTTTTTAAAAGCTGGGCTCTTAATTTGGTAAGGCTAAAAGGGGAGGAGTTTCTTTTTAAAAATTTTTTTGCAAAATCATTGTCAAAAAAGGGGGAAAAAAATTTTGGGAAAACAAAAACTTTGGTTTTTAAAGGGGGGGGAATTTGTTTGGGGGGGAAAAAAAGGGGGGTTTTTTTAGGAAAAATTAAAAGGGGGGGGGGTAAGGTTTTTTCAGTAATTTTTTTATTTAGGGGGGGTCGGCAACCCCAAATTTTGGTTTTTTTTTTTTGTTTGGGTTGGTTTTTTGTTTTTTTTGCAGGACCCCGGTTTTTTTTTTGGGGAAAATTTTTGGTTCCCAAGCCGGGTGAAAGGGAAAAAACCAAAATTTTTAAGGGCAAAATTTCCCTTCCCCAAGTGAAGTCTTTTGTACCACATGCAGATAAAAAAATGTGCTGTTTCTAACTACTATAAATTAAAAAAAAAAAAAAAGTACAATTTGGAAATTTTTCAATTGGGTGCAAATCCCCTTTTTCCCTTTAGTTTTGGGAAAGAATTTTTGCCCCAACTTAAATTTTAAAATTTTAAGATAAAAATATGAATTGTTCCCAAAAGAATTTTTGCCGCCAAAATACCAAAATTTGTACAAAAAAAAGTTAATTTCCCCAAAATGCTTTTGTACCAAAGGGGGGGGGGGGGGGGAAGGAATACAAGAAATTGAATCTCACCCCAGAACAATGATTTTCCACTGACCTAAAAATTTACGGAGAGTCTCATGAGTTGCTCTGGGTCCGTTTTAATGCCAAAACCCCGCAAACCCTTAACAAAAAAATTTTGGTAGCCCCTGAAAAAATTATTACCTTTTTTAAATTTAAAAACACTTTAAAGTGTCTAAATTTAAAAACTTAAAATATTTTTATTTGGGTGTGTAGCAGATGGGTCTATGAAAGATGAAGTGAATTAATTTCAGTTTAGAGGAAAAGGTTTTGGGGGTTTTCTTAGGAAATCGTGGGGACAAAGGAAATCTGTCCCTAGAAGCAAAAAAAAAAGGGGAAAGTATGAGAGTATAGTTATCTCAATTCTTTTTAAATGGGTGTGAAGCATGGAGGTGAAAGTTGCAACAAAAAGGCTGGAAGCAGTTTGGGGATGTCATGTCTGGGGGGCAATGTGGGGGGTGTGAATATAATGCAGAAATTTGAGTTTTGGGAAAATTGGAGGGGGGGTAAGGGGTTTTCTAAAAAAAAAACTATCCAAAAGGGCCCCGAGGAGGGGTTGTTGGGTGGTTCGGAATGTAGAGGGTAGAACAAAAAAGAAAGACCTTTGAGTGTTTTTAAAACTGTAGTGGAGGGAAAGGGGGGAGGGAGGGGCCAGCATAGGGAAAAGTTGGAGGGGGGGGAAGGGAAAGGTGATTTTGTGTGGGAAGGGGTTGGAAAATTTCAGTAACATTTGGGGAGCATGTTTGATAGGAGCAAATGGAAGCAAATGGTTTTTAGGACTTGGTGCTGTTGTTTGTGTGGCAGGGGAAAATTTACGAAGGTATTAGGAAAAAATGGGGGGCCCGACTTGAGTTGGAGATGGGAAGTGCAGGGCCTGCCTCTGAAGGGGGGGTTGTTAATGTTTCAGTTTTATAAATTTGTTTAAGCACACCCCCTGGCAAGCCCTGATGGAGTGGAAAGATGGTGAAATTTTCTTTTTCCCCGCCAACCCCGCCTTTTTTTTGGGAAAAAGGGCCGAAAGATTTTAAAAAAAAAAACAAAAATATTTTGAACCTAAGGTATATGTAGACAGAAAATTTAAATCAGCTTTTTGGGTTAAAAAGTACGAGCAAAAAAAAAATAGGAGGCTATTAAATAAATAATTTCTGCAATTAATTTCTACTACTTACTCATCAATTTAAATTTATTTCCTCCCCTTTTTCCAAAGGACCACTCTTCCAAGACCCCAAGATTGGGGGAGGTTGGGACCCCTACAGAGAAGGGATGGCCCTGAGGCAAATTCTTCACCAGGGCCTACCGCAGCTCCCTCAGGTGTTTTGCAGGGAAAAGATCCTTCCCCACAGGTGGGTTTTTGCAACTGTCGGGTTTTTCAAGTTTACCAAACTTTCCCAAAGGGAGAGTTTGACACGCGAAAAAGATGAGAAATGTTGATGCAAAAATTCAAACGGGTTTAACACCCGAAGAGTGATGGGCAGTCCTGTCAGATCATTTTTAAATTTTTAAAACTTTGATTTTTTGTATTTGTATGGGGTAAAAGATTGGTTGTTTAAAAGCCATAAAACCCTTTCCATTTAAAAAGGGGGTTTAGGTTAGGGTTTGTTTAAAGGGAAAAGGGGCAGCTTGTCCCGCAAAAAGCAAGGGGTCGGAAAGTGATACGTTTATCATGGTGGTTGTTTAAAGTACAGTCCCGGGAAAATTTTGGGGCCCCTTTCCCCCCTTTCCCCTTTTTAAAGAAAAAAAAGGGCAGATGTGGTTTAAAGAAAATTTGGGGTGGGCCCAAATTTTTTTTTTAATCACACTGGTTATCCACTAAAATAAAGGGGATAAATAAAAACAAACATGAATTTTTCACCTGAGAAACACCCCGCTCGTGGGGCCTTTTTGGGGCCTTTTTGAACTCCCCATTCCCGTGGCAAGAGAATATCGAAGGCCATCTGTAATGAGCTTAGGTTTAACAGCAGCATCCAACCCATATTCTTGACCCTTATCAAGGAGTTTTTGTGCATGCATCCTCACTTCTTTCATCAAATTTCGGAACAATCTGAAATAAAATGAAGTTCAAAGGAAGAATGAAAAACATTTGGAATAAATACTATACAGCTGGTTACAACTAATCAAACTTTTGTTTCACCGACCAAACTGTGATCATGAATGTGTTTCCCTGGGTTAGCCTACCTTGGTGAAGTCAACCAATGTTTAAAAAAAAAAATTATATATGGAGGCATATATAGTCATTGCTTACATGTTGATAATTATATGTATTCATTATCATACACTCATACATATAACCAACATTATTTTATTTTTATTATCACACTGGCCGATTCCCACCAAGGCAGGTTGGCCCGAAAAAGAAAAACTTTCACCATCATTCACTCCATCACTGTCTTGCCAGAAGGGTGCTTTACACTACAGTTTTTAAACTGCAACATTAACACTCCTCCTTCAGAGTGCAGACACTGTACTTCCCATCTCCAGGACTCAAGTCTGGCCTGCCGGTTTCCCTGAACCCCTTCATAAATGTTACTTTGCTCACACTCCAACAGCACATCAAGTATTAAAAACCATTTGTCTCCATTCACTCCTATCAAACACGCTCACGCATACCTGCTGGAAGTCCAAGCCCCTCGCACACAAAACCTCCTTTACCCCCTCCCTCCAACCTTTCCTAGGCCGACCCCTACCCCGCCTTCCTTCCACTACAGACTGATACACTCTTGAAGTCACTCTGTTTTGCTCCATTCTCTCTACATGTCCAAACCACCTCAACAACCCTTCCTCAGTCCTCTGGACAATAGTTTTGGTAATCCTGCACCTCCTCCTAACTTCCAAACTACGAATTCTCTGCATTATATTCACACCACACATTGCCCTCAGACATGACATCTCCACTGCCTCCAGCCTTCTCCTTGCTGCAACACTCATCACCCATGCTTCACACCCATATAAGAGCGTTGGTAAAACTATACTCTCATACATTCCCCTCTTTGCCTCCAAGGACAAAGTTCTTTGTCTCCACAGACTCCTAAGTGCACCATACTCTTTTCCCCCATCAATTCTATGATTCACCTCATCTTTCATAGACCCATCGTTTGACACGTCCACCCCAAATATTAAATACATTCACCCCCTCCTCTCTTCCCCCCAATCTGATATCCAAATTTTTTCATCACCTAATGTTTTTGTTATCCTCATTACCTTATCTTTTTGTATTCACTTTTAATTTTCTTCTTCTGAAACCCCCTACCAATTTCATCCCCCAATTCTGAACTTCTTTCAGAATCCCCCAAGAGCACAGTGTCATCAGAAAAGAGCAACTTGACTACCCCACTTTATGTGTGATTTTTATCTTTTAACCCCAGCCTCTTCCCAAAGACCCTCGCATTTATTTCTTAAAACCCCCAAGTATAAATATTTAAAAACCACGGTGACATACACATCCTTGTCTAAGGCCTACTTTTTAGGGGAAAAAATTTCCCTCTTTCCAAATACTCTAATTTGAGCCTACTATCCTCTTTAAAAAATCTTACTGCTTTCAAAAACCCAAACCTCTACCCTACACCTGCAACATCTCCCATATTGCCCCCCTACCCCCCTTTCATACCCCTTTTTCCCAAAATTAAAAATGCCCTAAACCTCTTTGCCTTATCTAAATACGTTCCTTACTGTTTCACTGAAAACACCGGGTAAAACCCCCCCCCCCTACCTTTCCTAAACCTCCTTGTTCATCTGCTTCCTTTTTCCCCATCTTATTTTAAATTTCTTTTAATAAAAATACCATACCTTTACCAGGTATACTCAACAGACTTATCCCCTATAATTTTTTCACTTCTTTTTTCCCCTTTGCCCTTTATACAAAAGGAACTATCTGCTCTCTCCAATCCCCCAGTCCTTACCCCCCCTTTCCCTAATTTATTAAAAAATTTTTCACCAAAACCCCTCCAAAAACTATATCCCACCTTCTTTAACATTTTAACTAACATTTCGAATAGCAAGGGGCTTTGGTTGTGCAATAAAAATGTGAATTCGGGCAGGTTCAGAAAGGTACTAAGGGAGTAATAAAATGTAAAAATAATAAGAAAACAAGGTTTACCCCTTGGATAGTTACCAAAAAAATATAAAAAATGGGAGCAAGAGATAGTGTATCAAAAAATGCAGAATGTCCATACCACAACAGATGACTCGAAACTATCTAGTCACCCACATGGTGCTAAGCCAGACCCATCCCCCAGTCATAGCACTAATACCCACAGTGCTGGTGCTGGCCCAGGCTCCCCCAGTCATAGCACTAATACCCACAGTGCTGGTGCTGGCCCAGGCCCAGCCGCTGACCCAGGCCCAGCCGCTGACCCAGACCCAGCCCCAGCCCCAGCCCCCAGCCCCAGTGCTGACCCAGACCCAGCCCCCAGCCTTACTGCCAGCCCAGACTCTCCTAGGGACACTACCAAAACCACCACAAAAACAGTAAATATACAACCATCTAAAACCGTAAATATACAACCATCATTGCACAAGACCGTGGCCCACAGTACAGATGTTGGAGAGGAGTCTCCTCCTTCCTCTACTGGGGAAAGTAGATGGAATCCAGGACGGGGTGGCCCTGGCTTGGATACTGAGGATTATAGTGCAGTCCCAGAACCTGCAGAAATTGACAACACACCTCCCAACAATTCTCAACCAAAGGTGAATTTGTGCAATTATTATGCTTGGGGCATCTGTAAGCATGGAATAACAGGGGAAAAAAATGGGACATGCAACTTTGACCATCCCAAAAAATGTAGCGACCTCCTGTCTAAAGGAGTGTGTCGTTCTTCCTGTACTTTCTTTCACCCAAAAATGTGCCACTCCTCGGTCCTCCAGAAGCAGTGTTACAACATCGAGTGCCCTGCATACCATCTAAAAGGGACCAGGAGGCACAGACCCCACAAGACAAACAATAGTAGCTACGACAACCCAACTCCAGGTGATTTTTTAGTGGCAGGAAACGAAAAAAGAAAATGGAAGGAAATAACAAAAATAGTCCACCACCTTGGAGCCTTGTTGGACTGGAGGCGCAGCCAGTGGCCACCCATGGCCCTCCAGAATTACAACTACTGATGCCAATAACAAAATCCCCCAACAAACACAGAATACAACCTCGTTCATTTTTTGCTAATATACAGGGCCTTAAGCCATCCACCAACAACAAAATACTTTTTTTCAGTGGACTTCTAGAGGAGTCTAATGAAATTGTTTGCAGCCTTCACAGAGACTCACACAAAAGATCACTTTGACAGTGAAATATGGATAAGTGGTTACAACCTTTTTAGATGCGACAGAAAAAACAGGCAACAAGGGGGGGGTTGGCCTGTATGTCGAAGAGTCCCTTATCTGCACGGAGTTGCTGAACACCACAAATGAGGTAGTTGAAGTTCTATCAATAAAGATCGAGAACCAAAACCTAGTCATTGTGGTTGTATACAAGCCACCAAATGCAACCTCACAACAGTTCAAGGAACAGCTACTGAAAATTGATTACTGTTTGGAAAACCTTCCAGCTCCATCCCCAAACATCTTACTGCTTGGTGATTTCAACCTAAGGCATACAAAATGGAAGAATGTAGCAAATAATGTTTAGCTGAAACAATCCCCGGAGGTAGCGCAGATGAAAGGTCACACACACATGAGCTACTAAGTCTCTGCGAAAAAACACACCTTAAGCCAGCAGATAGTGGAGCCAACAAGACTAGAAAACACACTTGACCTTATCTTCACAAATAATGAGGACCTGATAAGAGACATAAGAATATCAAAAACAACTAATTCCGATCACAATCTAATCGAAGTCCAGACGTACATGCATAGGGGTCCCGATCAGCAGAATGCATGTACCTGTGAAGGTGTCTTCACAAAATACAACTTCAACAACAAGAACATCAACTGGGGACCAGGTAAACCATGTCCTAAACGAAACATGTTGGGAAGAGGTCTTAAATGACATGGATCCAAACCAGTGCCCTTTAAAGGATCAACTTCCTGGTAGCCGAAGCATGTTTCTAGGCATATTCCCCTAAGAAAGAAGAGCAGGAGTAACTGGAGAGAAAAAGACGCTCCCTCTACAGAAGACGACGAAGAGTCACTGAGCTCCTCAGGAGTGCTAGAATATCTGATACACGAAAGGAGGCGCTGACCAGGGAAGTGGAAAACTATAGAACTTAAGCTAAAAGACTCTTACAGGAACCAGGAGAGGCAGGAGGAACTTAAAGCTATTAGTGAAATTGAAAGAAATTCAAAATATTTCTTTTTTATATGCCAAAAACAAGGCAAATACCACATCTAGTATCGGGCCCTTAAATCAGACAGGATGGGACTTACACAGATGACAACAAGGAAATGAGTGAAATATTGAAATCCCAGTGCGACTCTGTGTTTAGTGAACCACTAACGGTCTGAGGATCGACGACCCAATGATTTCTTCATGAATGAGCCTCAAAGCTCCATAAATGTATGCCAGATTTCCGACATTACCCTAACTACGATAGATTTCGAAAAAGCCATTGACAACATGCCTATGCACTCAGCCCCGGGCCCAGACTCGTGGAACTCTGTTTTCATTAAGAACTGCAAGAAACCCCTCTCGCGTGCCCTAAGTACACTATGGAGGAGGAGCTTGGACATGGGTGAAAATTCCACAGTCACTTAAAACAATGGATATAGCCCCACTCCATAAAGGTGGCAGCAAAGCATTAGCTAAGAAACTATAGACCCAATAGCTCTGATGTCCCACATCATAAAAATCTTTGAAAGAGTGCTAAGAAGCAGGATTGCAAATCACCTGGATTCCCAAAATCTGCACAATCCAGGGCAACATGGGTTCAGGGCAGGTCGCTCCTGCCTCTCACAACTACTGGATCACTATGACATGGCCTTGGAATGCACTGGAAGAAAATCAGAATGCAGATGTAATATACACAGACTTTGCAAAAGCATTTGACAAATGCGATCATGGCGTAATAGCCCATAAAACACGTGCTAAAGGAATAACTGGGAAAGTGGGGAGATGGATCTTCAACTTCCTAACAAATCGAACACAAAGAGTAGTGGTCAACAGAGTTAAATCGGGAGGCTGCCATAGTGAAGAGCTCTGTTCCACAAGGCACAGTACTCACCCCCATCTTATTCCTTATCCTCATATCAGACATAAACAGAGATATACACCACAGCACCGTATCATCCTTTGCGGATGATACTAGGATCTGCATGAGGCTGTCATCTGCTGAGGACGCGGTTAACCTCCAAGAAGATATAAACAAAGTTTTCCAGTGGGCAACGGTAAACAATATGATGTTCAATGAGGACAAATTCCAACTACTCCGTTATGGAAAACTGGAGGAGATAATAACTAGAACAGAGTACAGTGGACCCCCGCATACCGCACGCATCGCATACCGTACAATCCGCATACCGCTCGCTTTTTTCGCAAAAATTTTGCCTCGCATACCGCCCAAAAACCCGCTCACCGCTCTTCGTCCGAGACACGTCCAATGTGCGGCCTGAGCCACGCTCACATGTTCCCCGGTGGATTGTTTCCCCAGCCAGCCCCCCGGGGTAACATCCAAGATAAAATCGGAACTTTTGTATTATTACAGTGTTTTTTTTTTTTTTTGGAAAATAAGTGCCAGGGCCCCAAGAAGTTCTATGCCAACCCCCCGCAATAAAGGGTGAGAAATTTCTATAGAGATGAAGAAAAAAAATCATTTATAAGTTGAAAATGGAGTGCGTGTTCGAGTGGCAGGTTGTAAATAAAACCCCAAACAACCTCGCTACTTTGGTGGTACAGCTGCTGCTGCTGTTGTACCACCGTCAGCTGCTGCTGCTGTTGTATCACCGTCAGCTGCTGCTGCTGTTGTACCACCGTCAGCTGCTGCTGCTGTTGTACCACCGTCAGCTGCTGCTGCTGCTGTAGTACCGTCTGCTGCTGCTGTAGCATCGTCTGCTGCTGCTGTAGCATCGTCTGCTGCTGCTGTAGCATCGTCTGCTGGCTTGTAGCATCGTCTGCTGCTGCTGTAGCATCGTCTGCTGCTGCTGTAGCATCGTCTGCTGCTGCTGTAGCATCGTCTGCTGCTGCTGTAGCATCGTCTGCTGCTGCTGTAGCATCGTCTGCTGCTGCTGTAGCATCGTCTGCTGCTGCTGTAGCATCGTCTGCTGCTGCTGTAGCATCGTCTGTTGCTGCTGTAGCATCGTCTGTTGCTGCTGTACCACCGTCAGCTGCTGCTGCTGCTGTAGCACCGTTGTTGGTGTGGCTTATTGAGAATACCAAGAAACAATTAACCCCAGAGGATTTGCCACCCAGGATAACCCAAAAAAGTCAGTGTCATCGAAGACTGTCTAACTTATTTTCCATTGGGGTCCTTAATCTTGTCTACCAGGATGCAACCCACACCAGTCGACTAACACCCAGGTGAACAGGGAAAAATGCCTTGAACTAGTGCTCATATTGGTGAATTTAAAGCCAGCAAAGGTTGGTTTGAGAGATTTAAGAATCGTAGTGGCATACACAGTGTGATAAGGCCTGTTCTGGAAGAAAATGCCAAACAGGACCTACAGTCTCAGGAGGAAAAGGCACTCCCAGGACACAGTGTCTCATCAGTCATTGCTGCATCTTCAATAAAGGTAAGTGTCATTTATTCTTCATTTAGTAGAGTAGTACATGCACAATATATATTGTGCATGTACTACTCTACAATTGTGCATGTATCCTTCTCTTTGTGTGTAGGAAAATGTATATTTCATGTGGTAAAAATTTTTTTTTCATACTTTTGGGTGTCTTGCACGGATTAATTTGATTTCCATTATTTCTTATGGGGAAAATTCATTCGCATACCGAACATTTCGCATAACAATCGGCCCTCTTGCACGGATTAAAGTCGCTATGCGGGGGTCCACTGTATACTACTGACTCCGGCCATACAATAGAGCGGAAAAATAATGTAAGGGACCTGGGAGTAGTAATGTCTGAGGATCTCACTTTCAAGGATCACAACAGTGCCACGATCACACGTGCGAAGAAAATGATAGGATGGATAATGAGAACTTTCAAAACGAGAGATGCCAAGCCCATGATGATCCTTTTCAAATCACTTGTTCTCTCTAGGCTGGAATACTGCTGTACATTAACATCTCCATTCAAAGCAGGTGAAATCGCAGATCTAGAGAGTGTACAGAGATCCTTTACTGCACGTATAAGTTCTGTCAAGCACCTTAACTACTGGGAACGCTTGGAAGCACTTGACTTGTACTCGTTGGAACGCAGGAGGGAGAGATATATCATAATCTACACTTGGAAAATCTTGGAAGGAATGGTCCCAAATCTGCACACAGAAATCACTCCCTACGAAAGTAAAAGACTGGGCAGGCGATGCAAAATACCCCCAATAAAAAGTAGGGGCGCCATTGGTACACTAAGGGAAAACACCATAAGTGTCCGGGGCCCAAAACTGTTCAACAGCCTCCCATCAAGCATTAGGGGAATTGCCAATAAACCCCTGGCTGCCTTCAAGAGAGAGCTGGACAGATACCTAAAGTCAGTGCCGGATCAGCCGGGCTGTGGCTCGTACGTTGGACTGTGTGCGGCCAGCAGTAACAGCCTAGTTGATCAGGCCCTGATCCATCGGGAGGCCTGGTCATGGACCGGGCCGCGGGGGCGTTGATCCCCGGAATAACCTCCAGGTAACCTCCAGGTATCCCATCAATCCCGGCTGCCTTACCCCCTTTCATTTTACCTACTGCCTCACGAACTTCCCCCACACTCACAACTGGCTCTTCCTCACTCCTAAAGATGTTATTCCTCCTTGCCCTATACACGAAATCACAGCTTCCCTATCTTCATCAACATTTAACAATTCCTCAAAATATTCCCTCAATCTTCCCAATACCTCTAACTCTCCATTTAATAACTCTCCTCTCCTATTTTTAACTGACAAATCCATTTGTTCTCTAGGCTTCCTTAACTTGTTAGTCTCACTCCAAAACTTTTTCTTATTTTCGACAATATTAAGTAACTAATTTCTATTCAGTAATAGTACATCATTTTCTTCCCGTCTCAAAACACATTCAGTAAAGCAATCATATCTATAGTTTCCTATACAAACAGTTCTTTTGCAACTCATTTGGAAGGATGGGACCATCCTTACAAGACATTTTATCAATGTTTTAATATCTATATTATTGTAATCATAGGGAAGAATGAAATGGTTAAAACTTTTTCTATTGGCTGCTGCATAAACAGGATTTACATGGTTAATGGAAAAAAATTCTAGGCAGATTTAGGCAATGAATGGGACTAAGAGAATTTTCTTACCTAAAACATGTTATGTACAAAATTTTCCCCTCATGCTTACCCTCTGAAGAGCAGTGCCATAAGAGGACCAGCCAAATCCAACCTCTTGTTTCCATAGTGATCACGATCGTCTAGTTCTCGTCGACCTAAGGCTGCCAACAGCAGTCTATGAACCATATAGCCAAGAAAATAGGCCTTCTTAGTCTCACAGAAGTCTGACACACCAACATGTGGCAACATTTCCTTCTGCAAAATTTCTCGAGCGTACTTGACACGTTTTTCCTTCGTAACGCCAGGCCTTGCACCACGCGCTCCAATGAAATTAAGAGCAACATTTTGCTCCTGAATTACGAAGGCTTCATCCAAAGATGGTTTTACCTAAGAAAAAAGTATCGTGAAGAAAGTAAGATTTGCAAAAAGCCTGAAACAAAATGAACATTTAATACCCAATTTCCTAAATTAACAGACATGTCAGCTACAGTACATCAGTGTTTATCATCACATACTTGGGAAGCACAAAACCCAGAGGGGTCATACAAGATCTGGGGAAATGGGAGGCATTCAGGTTCAATCCAAGAAAGGGAAGTATAGAGCCAATTCCTTAAATCAATAACCTCTCACTGGAATCAAGAAATATCTCTTGCAAGGCTCTCAGTGTTCATTAGGTCATATACTGAAAGGTTATAGTAAGAACCACATTGTGTCCAGTCTAGATACCTACTCCAAAAACTACCCAATATTTGTTAAGAATTATCTGGTTAAATGTTTATCATGTGTCTGCAATTGCAATACCCCAACATTAAAGAACCACGGATAAACAAGGACAATTAACCCAGTCTTTGAAAACAGAAGAAACACTTGTAACACGTTTGAGCAAAACATTACAAAGAATTATGAACAACCATGACAATGACAATTACCCTGCTTTCTGAAAACATACTCGAGTGTGTGGCTAATATAAAGCAATCAAACTTCAAGGTTAAACACACAGTTGTCAACTGTTCAATTTCCCTTCAGAGAAATAAAATGCTACATAACTCTTCATACTGTAAAGAAATACAAAGAATTTAAAAGCAAACACTTACCATTTCCATCATTTCTGGATCGTCGAAATCATAGATGATGTGCTCCAGGATATCTCTATCTGCTACAAATCCTAGCGCCCGAAAAACAATCATCACTGGAATTTCCTGTTTCACATATGGTAGAACACCAATGATCCGCTGACCAATAGCTGATTTTTTTGCACTCTGTAAAAGTAGTAACAAGTTAAAAAAAAAAAAAATCACATTTATACACTGATTTTTTTTTAACACACTGGCCGTCTCCCACTGACTGACATAAATGATCCCGGAAATGTTAATATTTTTCTTCATTAATGGTGTAAAAAATATAATCACTTACACTACCGCCCCTAGCCATCATGTTGATCCAGAGTGTTGACACAGGTCGAGCAGAGTGCTCAATACAGGAGCGGATTTCACATTTATATGCATATTTCCCATCTTTCATGCTGAAGACGTATACAGTATTAGTTGCCATCTTCTCCTGGGCAATCAGCACCTAATTAGAGAGAAAATTTATAGCTATTATCTAAAATGATTACTATGTACATATTATTGAAAATATACAATATTTCACATACCAAAACAATTCTTTTAACTGTTAAGTTTCTCTCAGCACTACATATGAATTAATAAGATCAGTCATTGTAAGTGAAAACTGATAAGCAGACAAAAAAGCCTCTATTATAATTATTATTTTTTAATGTTATAGCCACCAATTGTTATTTTTTTTTTAACACATTGGCTGTCTCCCAAGGTAAGGTCATCCAAATAAGGCAACATTCATCATTGTTCATTCAATAGCTGTCTTGCCAGAAGTGTGCAGACATCCCAATTCAAATGACCTAAAACAGTCACTCTTGTACTAACCTTCTCAGAGCCATTGATAATAAAATATCCCCCGGGATCAAGGGGACACTCGTTCACCTCATGAAGGTCACGATCAGTGAGCCCACTCAATAAGCAGTATGTTGATCGCAGCATGATGGGGATTTTACCTGGAGTTCAGAATGTAATTTCTACTATTGAAAAATTCACAAACTTGAAAACACATTCTATGTACTTTTTATATTTGAACAGACAGTAATTAGTAACAAATTTTGTTTCTTCTAATTATTTGTAACAGATTAAATTATTTCCTGTACCCCATAAACAGACATTTTTTTAAATAATACAAGAAAGCTAGATAAGAAAAATACAGTACATGCTAAAAATATCTGATATACATACCAATGTAAATTTTTTCATCCTTATGTTCTATAGGCTTCTCTCCTTCCCTGATGACAGTCTTAACTATATCAACATATAGTGGAGAACTGTAAGTCAGGTTCCTCAAGCGGGCCTCATTAGGCATCATACTGTAATTATAACCATCCTTTTCCCAGTTGGTAGGCTTACTGAGATAAATCTGCTCAAATTTTAGCAGGTGACGAGGCTGCAAAAAATGAAGAGCATTACGATTTCCCCCTATTTCCAAGTACTTATGTTTTGAGACTCTAGTAATAATTCCTAATTCTATCTGTTGCTCTCCCTATAAAGATCATCTCGTTATACAGTCATACTCTTCAGATTAATCTTGCCACTTCTACACACACAAAAAATACAGTAGGACCCCTGTATCCATGGGTCCAGTTTCCATGGTTTACCATGACCCAAAATTAACCCTTAATTTTGCTTACTCAGAGAACAAAAGTAGTGATACTGGTAACTCATCGAAGCCTACAAGAAGCCACGAGGTGCTTCCTCTCTGTGAAAAAGTGCCAATTCTCGACTTATTGTGCATAATTTATCAATTACACTTTATAATATGTATGTATGCAAACAAAAAACCACTTATATACAGTGTTTGCTACTATCCATGGCAGTTTCTTGGAATGTATCCCCTGGGGGATAATCTGTATAATGAAACCTACAGAATTTGTTCTTTCCTTTTAAGTTTATTTAGGCACAGGTACACATAAGTAGAATTATCAATTATCATTGGGGCATGAATTTATACAGTACAGTACACTGCTTTCCCATGGTAAAGATTCAACATACAGTACTTCATAATAAGTATCTGACATACACAAAAAACACATACTTTGGTGGGTATGTTAGATAAATTTTTTATCACTCCTGAACTATCATGTTACAAATTAGAAATTACTGTAAAGAAAAAAATAGATCAGGTAAACAGGTGAGAGATTCAGAAGATGGTTCAGGTGACTTCTGTCACCCAACTTGGCTAACTACCTGCCCAAGATAAAAGATGTACTACCAAACTACCAAGAATTTTCACATATACATGTACACCTACCATCCGACTTACGACCGAGTTCGGTTCCGAGAAACCGGTCGTAAGTCGAAATGGTCGTAAGTCGAACTTTACTACTGAATATCAACAAAACATTTTTGTAATGACTTTATTTTATTGTTTTATTTTGGTATTTCATGTTTTACTTTACTTTTTATGTTGTTAGTACTGTATTTTATACTGTAAGGTTTATGATAAACACTGTGTACAACACAAATAGTTGTTTATTTCCCAGAAATTTGGCATAAAAAACACGGTCGCAAGTCGAGTGGTCGTAAGTCGAGCAGGTCATAAGTCGGATGGTAGGTGTACTTGTTACATAAACGACAGTTCCTTTTGAAAACACTCGCCACACAATCACCCATCATGATCCTACATATTTCTGTTATATGGAGCTCTTACCAAACTGAAGCTTAAACAGCCCCACAACTGTATATTTTATAGAATTAATTAATTTTAATTAAGTAGGCCCAAAATGCTGTACACACCATGGCCATGCTAAATCTACCACTTTTTATTATCTAGTATCAGAATCTACTGTATTCATTTCAATATTCTCAGTGGCCACACAGAAATTAGTGCTATACTGGCTTTTGTCTGTTGTTGGTCTCAGTGATCACCTCATTACCAGGACCAGACCTTCACTGTAATGGAAATATTACAGGAAAAAGAACTACAGAATTTCATCAAACCAGATGTGAAAAGACTTGAGGAAAAGTCAGCCAATTATTATTATATTTAGGGAGAAGGTGCTGAAAGATCCCTATGGGATCTCTTGGCACCTGAGGAATGGGAGGTAATTGAGTATGATTCAAGGAAGTGCAGGATAATTCCAATTCCTTGGATCAAAAAACCCTCACTAACATCAAGGAACCTTCCTTGAGAGTAAAGGTTAGCAGACATCTGAAGCCTATGCAACAATGTATTATGTTCACAAAGTTAATAAACTACCATACTTCATTTCAGACAAGCTTCATTCAGAAAAATATTCTGTAAATAGCTGTGTAAATTTGTACAATACTGTAGTTTTGATGACAAACAGATGTTTCAGGCAGGAGTCAATAGTTCATTATGTAGACTTTTTTTTTTTTTTTCAACAAGTCGGCCATCTCCCACCGAGGCAGGGTGACCCAAAAAAGAAAAAAATCCCCAAAAAGAAAATACTTTCATCATCATTCAACACTTTCACCACACTCACACATTATCACTGCTTTTGCAGAGGTGCTCAGAATACAACAGCTTAGAAGCATATACGTATAAAGATACACAACATATCCCTCCAAACTGCCAATATCCCAAACCCCTCCTTTAAAGTGCAGGCATTGTACTTCCCATTTCCAGGACTCAAGTCCGACTATATGAACTATATGTAGACTTAACCTATGATAATCCAATAAGGTCCATGTGACCTATTTCAATTTAAAACCCAAGGACAAACATACAGTATTTCTTGCAAGAATCACTTTCATACAACCATACTGAAGCACAGTCTTACCGGGGTCTCCAGTTCACCACCTGTATGCTGAGCCTCAGCCTGTAGATCAATAGCTTGAGAATCTTCAACAATTCTCTGTATAGTCATAGTTATGAACTCATCAAATGAGTCCAGCTGTTGCCGTACCAGGCCTTTCTCATCAAAGTAAGAGGAGATTACAAGCCAGCAAGCCTCCTGCCAGATGTCAGGAGAAATTTCATCTCCATCTTCATCCCCATATGCGAGATCTGGAAAAGAAATAACTATGGGATTTCTACACACAACTAAATGCCACCCAACTCTGCATAACCATAGTATCATGCTGAATTAAAATTATTATTTTTATCATAAATTTCCAATGAAGAGGGCAGGGATGTTTCAGGTACTTTTTTCAAGATATACAGAATGTGAAAAATCTTTGTTTTGCTGGCAGACTCTTGGAATTGTTATGGTATAGATACATATCTTGACTATTTTATCTGATACCAAGTACTGTATTAAACAATTCCAAAATAAAATGTTCTGAATGCTCCCTTCTAGTAGGTGAGAATTCTGTATGAAACCAACAAGCGCCATGGAGATACAGAAGTAACAGGAAACAAAGTAACTGAAGTACAGTCAGGGAATCAGACCTTGCTATTCTCTAAGAATCTGTCTCCTTTCTAGCTAACTCTAGTACTGCCTTCACCTGGAAGTTCAGCTGGAAGATACTCAGAAGAAATCTTTAACACTTTGATAGCACTCACATTGAGAATTGACAAGCATGTCTTCACTGCACACAGACTATGCATATATTTAAGTTTTATTTAGGCTTTAGCTATTTAAAAAAATCCCAATGGTCTTGAGGGCATACACTGTACATTATATAAATTTAATCTCGGATAACCAAATCAAATCAAGTTATCTTATTTCTTTTGAAATCCTTAACAAAATCAACATAAAAGATAAGATGATTTAATCAAAAGAGAGGGAAATAGCTCCAATTCTTTGGATTAAAAGCTGCTCACCGCATCAAGGCACTTTATGATTTCTAAGAGTCCAGCATTGGTAATGTCACTCCTGGAGTTTACCTGGAGAGGGTTTTGGGGGTCAACGCCTCCATGGCTTGGTCTGAGACCAGGCCTAGGTGGATTTTGAAGATAAAATATGTAGCTTAAATTGTAAAATATTGAGGGGTTTTACATTAAGGATAGCATTATTTTGTGAAATGGTAAAAACGTAACTTAATTAACCCACTTAACATTAATAACCACAATCGTTACATCCAGCAAATTTTTCTTGCAAAAAATAAACCAGTAAAGAATAAAAAGACAATACTGTGACTGGAACAATGCAGAAATAACCTGCACGTAAGTTTATTTATGTACAGGTCCACATAAATACAATTATCATACATAATTTAACATGTGTATATTACCTAGGATAACCCCCCAAAAAAAGTCACAAAGTGACTTGTTACCACTGGGGTATACCTGGAGGGGTTTCAGGGGTCAATACCCCCATGGCTTGGTCTGAGATCAGGCCTCGTGGCAGATCAGGGTCTGATCAACCAAGTTATTACTGCTGGCCGCACACAAACTGATGTATGAACCACAGCCCAGCTGGTCAGATAATGACTTTAGGAGCCTGTCCAGTGCCTTCTTGAAGACATCCAGGGGACTATTGGTAATCCCCCTTATGTATGCTGGGAGGCAGTTAACAGTTTTGGGCCCTGGACACTTACTGTTTTGTCTCTCAGGGTACTCGTGACACCCCTGCTTTTCATTGGAGGAATGTTGCATCTCCTGCCAAGTCTTTCGCTTTCACAGGGAGTGATTTACATGTGCAAGTTTGGTACTAATCCCTCTAGGATTTTCCAAGTGTATATTATCATGTATCTCTCTCACCTGCATTCCAGGGAATGCAAATCAAGGGACTTCAACTGTTCCCAGTAATTTACGTGCCTTATCGTACTTATGTGTGCCGTGAAAGTTCTTTGTACACTCTCCAGGTCAGCAATTTCGACTGCAGTAGTATCTACTTGTAGTATCTTAATAAAGCCTAGCTGTAAGATACAGTAGAAATCAGTCATTAATATAACCCCATAGTGCCCCGTGGCCTAGTGGCTAAAGCTCTTGCTTCACACGGTGAGTGATCAGGTTCAATTCCTGGTGAGGATAGAAACACTGGGCGTGTTTCCTTACACCGATTGTCTATGTTCACCCACCAGTAAAATAGGTACCTGGGTGTTAGTGGACTGGTGTGGGTCGCATCCTGGGACAAAACTGACCTAATTTGCAGGAAATGCTCAGCATAACAAGGGTTTTTCTATATAGTAGTATGTCATTGATGTCAGCTATGGTCTGTATATCTTGTACATGTACTTGTAGTAAATAAAGATAGTAGTAGTTATTATATATTAATAGTTAAGGGTTCAAGTCTGACATCATATATTATGGGGGGCGCTAAACCCGTAGGGATTATACAGCACCTGTGGGGGGGAGATGGAAGGCATTTAGGCTTAATTTATGGAAGTGGAGTACAGATTCAATTCCCTGGATCAAGAGCCCCTCACCAGCATCAAGGAACCTCATATTACAGTAATATCACCTGGAAAAGGGGGGTAAACAGGTTATATATAAGGAAAAGCCAAGTCCACTTCCTTGGATCATGAGCCCCTCACCAATAAGTTTATTTAGGTACAGGTACACAAATACAATTATTACACAAATTATCATAGACTAAAACAAACTACCAGGATAATCCAAAAAAGTCAGTCAGTGACTTATTTCCATCAATTAATGTGACTTTCCCTCCGTCTATAACTCACCTTCATCTATGTCAGCGTAAGCCATCATCTTGACTACACGAAATGACAAAAAAAACGTTCCTCTTTGTCAAATTAAAGCGCAGAAAACTGGAGTCAACGTAACCTGACCAGCACCTTCCTGGTCACTACTGCCGCTACACTCAGTGTTGCCACAACTCTCATCCAAGTTACCGCTATAAGTAGCGAATCTATTGATCAAGTACTTGCTTATTTGTGGTTGTAGGGGTCGAGTCACAGCTCTTGGACCCGCCTCTTTGCTAGTCACTATTAGGACCACTCTTTCTCCCTCTATTCCAAGAGCCTTATCGTACCTCTTCTTAAAGCTACAGAAATAAATAAGTTTATCTGACCTTTTTGGGGGTTATCCTGAGTAATTTATGTTACAATGTTATAAGTAAGTAAGTAAGTTTATTCAGGTATACACAAATACAGTTACATAGAATTATCATACATGGCAGCATATCTGTAGAGAACCTAGGATAACCCAAAAAAGTCAGACAGAGTGACTTATTTCCATTGGGGTCCTTCATGTAACTGTATTTATATGTATTTGTACCTATATACTTACTAAAAACTTACTATGTAAGGATCATGAATCCCACTGAAAATAAGTCATTTTGACTTTTTTGGGTTATCCCAGTGGGTAATTTACACTATGTATAAGATAGATAAGATAAGATTTCGTTCGGATTTTTAACCCCGGAGGGTTAGCCACCCAGGATAACCCAAGAAAGTCAGTGCGTCATCGAGGACTGTCTAACTTATTTCCATTGGGGTCCTTAATCTTGTCCCCCAGGATGCGACCCACACCAGTCGACTAACACCCAGGTACCTATTTGCTGCTAGGTGAGCAGGACAACAGGTGTAAGGAAACGTGTCGAAATGTTTCCACTCGCCGGGAATCGAACCCGGGCCCTCCGTGTGTGAAGCGGGAGCTTTAGCCACCAGGCCACCGGGCCTTATCATACTTATGTTAATATGCATGATAATTTGTGTAATTGTACTCATGAGTACTTGTACTTAACTAAACTAACTTACCACTACACTCTCCAGATTATTCCACTTCTTGACACCTCAAAGCTAAAGAAATACTTCCTAACATCCCTGTGACTGAGGTGTCAACTTCCAGTTGTGACTCAGCTTAATTAAGTTTATTTGGGTACAGGTACACATAAGTACAAGTATCATACATACTAACATGTAAAAGAACCACAAGAAGAGTTGAATGATAGCTCTAGGCCTTTCGCGTTGCAATCGACACATCATCAGGAGCTTCCAAAGTTGCAGAAATAAGCAAGTAATCTTAGCAAATTCGTTCCGATTACTTATTTCTGCAACTTTGCACCCCTCAAGGAAGGTTCCTTGATGTTGGTGAGGGGCTCTTGATTTAGGGAATTGGATCTGTGCTCCTGTTCCCCGAATTAAGCCTGAATGCCTTCCACATCCCCCCCCCAGGCGCTGTATAATCCTCCGGGTTTAGCGCTTCCCCCTTGATTATAATAATAATAATGCAACTTTGCAAGCTCCTGTTGTGCTGATTGCAACAGAAAGGCCTAGAGCTATCATCCAACTTCCCCCTATTTTTTTAAACCGATATGCAACACTTTTGACTCTGATTTTTTGACAAAAATAATAATCCAGCTCTTGGTACCTGTCCATCAATTTTTTTATCCTAATTAATATTTAGGCGCAAGTGGCTGTATATAAAGAATTTCAATAATATCACGTTTTCTGAATGAAATGTTAATCATATTTTGTAATTAAGTTTATCAATTATCATTATTATTTTAGACTGACATCAAGTCAAATTTAAGAGTATCAGTATTATTAAAGAGGTGAGCAAGAAGACCATATTTTAAACTGGCCTGATATGTGGCAAGTATTTACTTAATTATTTACTTAATTGCTTACTGGTTTCTCGAACTTAACCCCACCAAATGCAAAGTCATGAAGATCGGAGAGGGACAAAGAAGATCGTAAACGGAGTATAGGCTAGGTGGCCAAAGACTACAAACCTCACTCAAGGAGAAAGATCTTGGGGTGAGTATAACACCGAGCATGTCTCCGGAAGCACACATCAACCAGATAACTGCTACAGCATATGGGCGCCTGGCAAACCTGACAACAGCGTTCCGATACCTTAGTAAGGAATCGTTCAAGACACTGTACACTGTGTACGTAAGGCCCATACTGGAGTATGCAGCACCTGTTTGGAACCCACACCTGGTCAAACACGTCAAGAAATTAGAGAAAGTGCAAAGGTTTGCAACAAGGTTAGTTCCAGAGTCAAAGGGAATGTCCTATGAAGAAAGGTTGAGGGAAATCGGTCTGACGACAGTGGAGGACAGGACGGTCAGGGGAGACATGATAACGACATACAAAATACTGCGTGGAATAGATAAGGTGGACAGAGACAGGATGTTCCAGAGATGGGACACAGAAACAAAAGGTCACAATTGGAAGTTGAAGACTCAGATGAGTCACAGGAATGTTAGGAAGTATTTCTTCAGTCATAGAGTTGTCAGGCAGTGGAATTGTCTAGCAAGTGAATTAGTTAATGCAGGAACCATATTATTATTATTATAATCAAAAAAGAAGCGCTAAGCCACAAGGACTATACAGCGGCAGGAACCATACATAGCTTTAAGATGAGGTATGACAAAGCTCAGGGAGCAGAGACAGAGAGGACCTAGTAGCAATCAGTGAAGAGGCGGGGCCAGGAGCTGAGTCTCGACCAATGCAACCACAATTAGGTGAGTACTTATTTACTAGCCCAGCGCAGCGAAAAATTTAGTAGCGGAAGACTTACACACTAAACTTATCTGGCAACACTGACACACCAACTTGGTCGTATTATTATTATTATAATCAAGGGGGAAGCGCTAAACCCGGAGGATTATACAGCGCCTGGGGAGGGGATGTGGAAGGCATTCAGGCTTAATTCGGGGAACTGGAGCACAGATCCAATTCCCTAAATCAAGAGCCCCTCACCAACATCAAGGATTATTATTATTATAATCAAGGGGGAAGCGCTAAACCCGGAGGATTATACAGCGCCTGGAGGGGGGATGTGGAAGGCATCCAGGCTTAATTCGGGGAACTGGAGCACAGATCCAATTCCCTAAATCAAGAGCCCCTCACCAACATCAAGGAACCTTCCTTGAGGGGCCAACATCAAGGAACCTTCCTTGAGGGGAACTTGGTCGTAAATGCTATTAAAAACAAACATCTCAGGGGAATTTAAAATTAAAAACTATTTTATTTCCTTGTTAAGCTTACAATGTTTGGTTTATATGTTGTAAAATGTAAATTACAAAGGCCACTAGCATGCCTAGGCATTTTTTTTAGTATAAAAAAGAAGCGCTAAACAGGGAATTTAATATATTCATTGGATAAGGATTATTATTATTATTATAATTATGGGGTCATTGGATTATTATTATTGTAATCATGGGGGAGCGCTAAACCCATAGGATTATAGTGCATGTGGGGGGGGGGATGGACGGTATTCAGACTCAATTCAGGGAACCGGAGCACAGATCTAGTTCCCTAGATCAAGAGCCCCTCACCAGCATCAAGGAACCTCCCTTGAGGGGTAGGGTCATTGGATCAAGAGCCCCTTATCAACATTAAGGATCCTCCCATGAGAGGTATCAATCTCTTAGATTCTCCAATATCTTCTCTTTACGATCTTTTTCTCCCCACAAGCAGTTTATGGTCATTTGTTATAATAATGGGGGAGTGCTACACTTGTAGGATTATACAGCACACTGGGGAATGATGAAAGGCATTCAGGGAACTGGAGCACAGATCCAGTTCCCTAGATCAAGAGCCCCTCACCAGTATCAAGGAACCTTCCTTGAGGGGTCAGGTGATTATAATTATCATCATAGTAACACATGTGAATTACTTAAGATAACCTATACAAAAAGTGATTTACTTCCAAGAACATTTGAGACATTGAATGTCACCTGTATTATTATTATACTTATAACTAAGCGCTAAACCACAAGGGCCATACAGCACTAAAATGTCACCTACAGTAATGTGGATGAGCACATTACTGCAGGTGACATCACTTGTCCATCTTTATATCTCACGTCTATCCGCTCTATATACACCTAGGCTCTTATTTTACAGCTCTGTGATTATAATTATTATTATTATAATCAAGGGGGAAGCGCTAAACCCGTAGGATTATACAGCGCCTGTGGAGAGGGGATGGAAGGTATTCAGGCTTAATTCAGGGAACTGGTACATCTCTGTGAAAATTGATAAAGTCCCTTGCAGAAGAAATGTCTCCTCAGTACAATGCCAGAACCTGCATAGTGTTTTATTAACATACTTGTTGGTATATAACATATTTGCTGTATGTATACACAGTAATGGCTTGCCCCTAATAGCATTCTAAATTCTGTTTGCTCTATACAGGTACTTGCTTCGCTAGAGGCAAAGAAATTAATTATTATAATCAAAACTAAGCACTAAACCCACAAGGGTCATACAGTGGCAAAAAATTAAACGGTGCATTATTATTATAATCAAAAAGAAGCGCTAAACCTATTAAACGGTGCAGGTTGGCTAATTTGTCATTTCTTTTTTGATGATTCTTGAAGTTGTTGCTTTAGCAACACGGGCTGTGGTTTGTACGTCAGGTTGCATGCGGCCAACAGTAACAGCCTGGTTGATCAGGCCCTGATCCACCATGAAGCCTGGTCGCAGACCCGACAGTGGGGGCACTGACCCCCGAAACCCTCTCCAGGTACATGTATTATGAAAATTTCCAGTATAGATTTCTATTCTTATATTCACAAGGAAGTGCTAAAGGTGTTGGAATCATACAGTGCCTATGGGAGGCAGTGTATGAATTGGAAGGTAGCTCAGATTCCTTGGATCAAGGGACCTTTACTAATATCAAGGCACTTGAAAGAATTAAGCTGTCAATCAGGAGGCCTGGTCGGGGGCCAAGAGTCGGAGCAATAGCCTCAGTAATCAACATATAGATGAACAACAGGCAGGGTCCACCTTTTTCGCGACTTCCCTGTACACTGGACTTCTTTATTTTTATTCTACTCATGGGGAAGTGTGAAACCAGTAAGGGTCATAATGTGTCTGAGGCATGACAGGTAATCAGCTTTGACTTGAAAAAGAAAAGGGTAGCTCCAATTCCCTGGATCAAGGGTATTTCACCAACATCAAGGAATGTCATTTGAATGATCCACTTACTTAGTAAGGATGTACTATTGTCTTCAGGAAGAAAGTTCTTGTGTAACTAGTTAATGGTCCAAGTTGGGCTGAAACGTCATTATAAATTTCAGTCTCTTACGTACAGGTTATTACGTACATGGGTCTCCATGTGCAGCCCATACACAGTGGCAGCGCTTGATGAAGCTTGGTGACCACCCTGGTGTTAGAAGCCCCATCTAGTACATTATTATATTCATGGGAAAGTGGTAAAGCCAGAAGGATCATACAGTGCTGGGGCAATGATAATCAGGTTTGATCTAAGGATGAGGAGATAGCTCTAATTCTTTGGATCAAGAGCCCTTCATCAGCATCAAGACACCTTTGCCTTGAAGGGCCCAGCCAGTGCAGTCAAAGTATCCAATAAAACTTTATTTACCTCACAGAAATATGAATACAGTACACCATAACTCAAAACTTAGGGATTTTGAAAAAAAAAATTTGGGCTTATATTAGCTGTTATTGTGTCATTTTATGACTTGTAAAATTCGGAACATAAAACAATTTACATCTAACAAGGTTTCCACATTAATTCTTAATAATTAAAAAAGTTTAAAATAATATTACTGATAATATTAGCTGGATTTCAATTCTAGGAGTGGGAAGTACACTGCCTGCACTCTGAAAGATGGTTGCAACATTGCAGTTCGCAAGATGGTTTGAATTGTGATATCCATGCATATCTAACAAGATAGTTTTGGAATGGGTAACGGTGAAAATAGTTTTTTTGGGGGGGGAGGGCAATGACTGATATGACAAGAAAAAATATTTTTAATTGACTTTCATTAACCATTTACAGTCTAAAGAAAGTCATACAATAAATCTTGAATTCAAGATTTAATTTTTTAGGAAACAAAATGTAAAAAATACTTAAGCTACAAACTGTTAAGCAGAAAGAATAGTCCTTAAACACTGTTAAAACTAACTATCACTTCCCCATCTTGAACCACTTTGGTAACTTAGGTACAGCTCCAGTGGCTCGATTACTTGTCCTCCTGTACATTGCTTCTTCATCATCAATCTCTGTGGCCGGTGGCATTGGACTTGAACTTACAGTAGCAGAATATGCTGTTGAAGATTCATTACAAGCTTTTCTTCGTTGCCTGAAATTTAAGAAAAAATAATTATTATTTTTTTTTGTTTTACCACAACATCTCTCTCCCACCAGGGCAAGATGACCCAAAGAAGAAGAAATGTAGCTTTACTTCTTTTCATATTTAATAATTTATACAGAAGGGATTACTAGTCCCTTGCCCCTAGTATTTGAGTTGCCTCTTACGACACACATGGCTTACAGAGGAAGGATTCTCTTCCACTTCCTCATGGAGTGCTTATTATTTTTGCAGGATAATGCACTTTGAGGGTTTTTCTTTCTTTTGGGTCACCCTGCTTTGGTGGTAAACAGCCGTGTTAAAAAAAAAAATGCACTAAAGGGTTATAGAGAACAAGGCAGAGGGCTGCTGATGTCAGAGAAAGAGAAGCATGAAGGGTGTGTTCACATGCTAAAGAGGAAAGTCAAGTTGGCATAGCAAGTTAGTCCAAGATGAGAAATCAAAGAATCTGCACAATGATGGTGGGGAACTCTTGAGAGATCATCCTAGGTGAAGGCATCAGGACATTTAAGGAAGGGTCATATAAATTCTAGTGCAGCATAACTGAACCCACTTTACAGTCTGTTGACTTTTTTTTTTGTTTTAACATACTGGCCATCTCCAACTGAGGCAGGGCAACCCAAAAGAGAAACACCTTCACCATCATTCACACTATCACTGTTTTGCCAGAGGCTTGCAGATACAACAGTACAGATGACCCTCCAAACAGTAAATATCCAAAACCCCTTCTTTAGAGTGCAGGCACGATACTGTTCAAAAGAAAGCCTTGTGAGTCCTGCTTCATACTTCAGATGTCTTCAGTCATTAGTAGTAAGTCCAAGCCTAACACATGAAGAGAGTCAATATCCATATCAAAGAAAAACTAAATTTTCTAGAGGTGTTAAGAAGTGCAGAATGACCTACTTATTTAATGATTCTTTTCATTACATTAATAATCTAGATAGGTTAGAATATGCAAAAAAATGGAAGAAAGCAAACAACAGTATTCCTTGTGAAAATCTGACAAATATGCAACATCTGGCTATCTTTAATGTAGATGTTGCATGTGTGTGTCTAATTTGCATCTTGTCGGTATTGTATACCATTCATGTGCAACAATATTCCTTGCGTTTTGATGTTATTCTACAAAAGTAAACTCTATCAATACCTTTGTCAGGTGACAGACAACTAAGTTGTGATGGCTATGAAGGTCAGAAGGCTGCCAACTGCAACAGCCTGGTTGAACAGGTAATCACCAGAAAAACTTGGCTGTAAGAGTAGAAAAACCCTCAAAACTGGTTATAGGTATATCACAAGAATACTTATGTACCATTCTACTCACTTTCTCTGTACCAGGCTGCCACAGGCACTTGCAAATGATGACTTCTTGGCTAGTGTATCATCGTTCAAATAAGGAGGCCCTCCATTAGAACGTACAAAATAAACACGAGCATTTGGAACACATTCAGCAGCTATGAGTGTCATATCATGTGAAAGAACTCTAGGAGGATGTCTGGTATCTGCAATTCAATATTAATACATAATCAGTTTATCTGCAATAGAAAGCCAAATATAAGGACCTCTCAACAGATATCTCCAATCCATGGTTAAAGAACTCATGCCAATTATTGTACGGTACAAATCAGCTGAAGCTGACCAAGTGGATTATTTGATTGAAGAGAAACCTTGGTCCTTCAAAGAGTTATTTGACTTAGTCAACTTCCATCTAAAAATGTTCTTCATTGAGAAATTAGAATTCAATCTTTGAAACTTTGAAGTGAACAAAGTTCCTGGTCTAAAACATATCCATAATAAAATGTCAAAAGTGTTTGCTCTCATGTCTTTAATAACAGCTGTTTAACAACCACTCTTATTTCTGGTTTGATGTATTTTAAAATCAATAATGTAAACTGTATATTACCATGTTACAAAGGCTAGAATGTTAATGTTTCCAAACTTTCTTTGTGCATTTACTAGCATGTAAACCTGGGGAATTTACAAGACAATATTCCCTATACAAACTACTCAGCCCAGCTTTTTTCTTATAAATTTAAACCTTTTTTTTTTTGTTAACATACCAGCCATCTTCCACTGAGATAGGGCGACCCAAAACAACAATAAAACTAGAGAGCTCTTTTTACATTTAGTAATTTATACAGAAGCAGTTACAAGCCCCTTGCTCCCTTAAACTTTCTGTGTGAAAATATACTATACAATAATAAATTGTAAGTATAAATTACTACAGTAGTACAAAAAATATCAGCATCTTCAAAACTGCACTATAAATAATAAAAAAAAATAAATAAGACACTTGTGCAATACTTGGGAATCTTTAGTAAGGAAACGTTTCAACAGCCAGTGGCTTCTTCAGTCCAATGCAGAGAAACAGTAGAAGATGAGGAGGAATTTGAGGTAATCAGTCCTCATCTTCCACCATTTCTCTGCACTGGTGAAAAGTTTCCAGACTAAAAATTCCCAAGTGTCCTATTTAGCAACCTGTTGGTTTTCTAAACCATTTATTCATAAAAAGAAAAAACTTACGTAGACTAAATTCTGCTGTAGGATCAGTTATAAACTGTTTAATGAATTCCATCACAGAAGCAATAGTGTCAGAAGAGTTGAATGATGCCTGAATGACATGATCATCTGGAAAATGTATTCGCAGCTGGGTGACAGGAAATCTGCTGAGAGCAGTGAGGATTTTGGCATTTTTCTCCATTTCTCGCATTTGCTGGGTCATAATAGGTGCTTCTGCCAACTCATGTCTGATGAACACAAAAAAAAAAAAATAATCTTGCTCTAATAGTACAAATACAAAAATACAAATACATTTATTTCTTTTCTGCAGTATACAGGTAATGTAGTTTGCAGTAATAAAATACTGTTACTCACAAAAGAAAGCCACTAGTATGCAGTGATGTACAAACAAAAAATATCTACATGACATACATATGCTCAAAATTTTCTCTTACTTGATGCTGTGAGTCAAATTGTACAGATAAATAAAAATATCAGAAACTATCAATATGGTCTATAGCTGAAAAGTTTACCTACACTTTATGTATGAAAATTACTGTCAGGTATAAAAAAAAATTAGTCAAGAGAAGCAAAGAAAGAACCAGAAACTACAAAAAATGGTCCGAACTGTGTTAAAATGTTATGGGTTTTCAGACTTTTTTTAATTTAAACTTTTTCAATAAGATTAAAAGTGATGTTCAGTTTCTTTATAAATAGTCTGGATAAAGCACCTCATTCATTCAAAATCTAATAAGCAGAAAGGAGGAGTAAAAATAAATAAGTAAATAAACAAAATTGCTTAAATGTATTATGAAGTCTTTGCTAATAGTCAAAAAAAAAAATAATAGGAATGTATCAATTCTATGAAATGGAGAAGGGAAGAGATAAGAGAGAGAGATAAGATTTCGTTCGGATTTTTAACCCCGGAGGGTTAGCCACCCAGGATAACCCAAGAAAGTCAGTGCGTCATCGAGGACTGTCTAACTTATTTCCATTGGGGTCCTTAATCTTGTCCCCCAGGATGCGACCCACACCAGTCGACTAACACCCAGGTACCTATTTGCTGCTAGGTGAACAGGACAACAAGTGTAAGGAAATGTGTCGAAATGTTTCCACCCGCCGGGAATCGAACCCGGGCCCTCCGTGTGTGAAGCGGGAGCTTTAGCCACCAGGCCACTAGTTAGCAGTGTAGCAACAGCTGTGGTACACTGGTGATTGTTGCAACATGCAGCAAGTGTCTCAAGACAGTACCTCCAGTATGAGTACAGCCTCTCCCCACTTAACGACGGGGTTCCGTTTCTAAGAGTAGGTGGGTAAGTGAATTAGTCGTTTAGAGAGGAGCATACTATATTGGTATTGGGTTTGTGTCAACCATCTTTAGGTATTTTATTAATGCCACCTTTGCACCATTTATAACATTTCTAGTATATTTTTAAATGTTCATACAGTAGTGTACTGTATACTGTAATAAACAGAATACAGTAAATCAGCTCTAATATACATTACTCAGATTTGCATACTGGTTGGAGAGATGGTTGTAAGTCCAAGTGGTCGGTAAACGAGAACGTCGCTAAGTGAGAAGAGGCTGTATTTACAATACTCACAGTGCTTTATTGCTTAAAAAACAGGGATTGTTTTCTGCCTTGAGCAGTGATCATTCTCATATTTGTGTTAAGGACTCAACAACTAAACTCAAAACTTATACACATGAAAAAGTCTTTCAGTACACACAGTTCTTTCAGTTGTTCCTGGTGTAATTTCTTCACTTCATTTGCAGACAGCTCAAAGAAGGTGTCATCTTCGTCATGAACATGAGTTGAAGGTGCATCATCCATACTGAAGAGGATGGCATTGTTGGAACCAAGCTGAGAGAAAAAAAAATACCTGTAAGTACCTATTAATTTTGTTTTTAGTGCTAATTTTTTTTTTAACATTGTTAAATTTTTTAGTACTATTTTTGTGCGTTTTAGTACTATTTTTGTGTGTTTTAGTACTATTTTTGTGTGTTTTAGTACTGTTTTTGCTTTCAGTAGTGATAATATTCATGTTTTGTTAAGTTACACAAATCAAGTGGCCTACATAAAAGTTTTTCTAGTGTTTACATAATTATTATTCCTGAAGATGACAATATCTCCAATTCCTTGGATTAAGAGTCCTTCACCATCATCAAGAAACATCCTTGCAAGGTGAAGTGCTCAGAGTACTACGCATGTCCAGAACTTACAAGTGCACACACACACACACACACACACACACACACACACACACACTCACACTCTCACACACACTCCTGAACTTTTGCCCAAGCTATTTCAATGATCCACTGAGCATTTCTACATCAGCTTCTATGATGCCCATTTGTCAAATTGTTTTCCACAATCAGAGCACAGAACTAAAGCTGAGTTGTGTTTGCACATCTGTATTATAACAAACAGGCAATCATAAGAATTACAACAAACCCAGAAAATCCACACCTTAATTACTTTCTCCTTAGTCAGCACTAGTGAAGGTTCAGCATCAGCAGGTACGTTTGCTGACAATGGTACATCATTCCCATCTACATCCATTGGCAGCAGTGATTTCATCTGTTCACTTCCCTCTGAATATTTCAAATGTGATTACTTACATGGTTTATTATTATTAATTGGTATAATCTGAGGGGGACTAAGGTTTTTGAGTGCGCGGGACTGAAGAATTCAGCAAGCTTGTGCGAGTGTAAAAAACCACGAACGGGTGGATCCTAAAAACCCAGTTTTAGGACTTGTTTACCATGGGTTCAAACCCCACCCGTTCTATGGTTTGCTAGCAATCGTATTATTACAATTTCCTGAGTTGTGTGAGCATTAGATCAGAGTGGATACAGGGGTTTCTGAATGTAAGGTTCATCTACTATTATATATGTTCATGAGACAGAAAATGTCAGCAAACCTGACCCTTTAAAAAAAAAAAAAAAAGATCAGATTTTTGTTTCACTTATATTAGAGAATGGTATTATCTCCTTAGGTGGTTACTGTCTACCAACTACTACCATGGAAATAATACACACACTACAGTATGTAAAAATACCACAGTGAAAATAGAAAATAGAGTGCTTACACATATCTTTACTGTGGTATTTTTACATATTTGCAATCACTCATTTTACTGCCATTTCTTCCATATACTACAGTATACTGTATTAAACTCACTTGTGGTATTAGGCTGTGGTAAATCAATCTTAGAGTGATTTACATCAGAAACTATACTCTGGCTAGAACACACTAGATCTGGACTGAGTTTAGGGAGAGACTGACAGCTAGGTTGCTCCTGCTGCATAGGTTGTAGACGTGGCTGAACACAAGTCTTGTCAGGATGGATATTCTGAACCTCAGGTCGAGTTTTTTCCTGCGAGGATGCTTGTGCACTTGTATCCTGCTTTTTTGATTCTAAATGTTCAGCTTCTAGAAGAAAAATATATACTGTATATATCTTACATTATATAAATTTTTAATTCAATGGCCATCTCCCACTGAGGAAGGGTAACCCAAAAAGAAAAACAAAAGAAAAATGAAATGAAGGTAAAAGAAAAACAAAAGTAAAAAGAAACATGAAAGATTATGTATATGAAACCATCATCTTTCAACAAACCAACTGTCTCCCACCAAGGCAGGGTGGCACAAAAGAAAAAAACAAAAGCTTCTTTTAAATTTAATAATATAGTGTGACCCAAGTGCAAGTAGAAGTAGCAAGACGTACCTGAAATCTTGCATGTTTATGAGACAGTAAAAAAGACACCAGCAATCCTACCATCATGTAAAACAATTACAGGCTTTCGTTTTACACTCACTTGGCAGGACGGTAGTACCTCCCTGGGTGGTTGCTGTCTACCAACCTACTACACAGGATGTATATGAAATCTATACATTATATAATGTTATGACTGCTTGTCCTCCTTAACACATGAACATAACATACAAAATGGCTCAGAAAATTTGAGTGAATAGGGATGAGCTGTTGGAGGAGAGTGAGCAAGGGGATAAATTAAGAGCAGAGGAGCCATAGGGCTGTTAGGAAGTACTTTTTCAGTCTTAAGATTGTAAAAATGCAGTTTCATGAATACAGAAGATATGATTGAGCTTGAAAATGAGAAATCAGTGGATGACTGCTAAGAGTTAAAGGCAGGTCCAGGAGCTATGGTTTGATTTCTGTCAGTACAACTATGTGACTACATGCTGTATATTTTAACTTGGGAACTAAAGATGTAAAGTACTGTACATGCAGTATAAAATATGGCTCCACTGTAAATTTTCATTTTAATATTTAGTACTGTACTGCATAATACAGTACGTACTTAAAATTTATGCCATTCACAGCATCTAGATTTATTGGTAATCTAGTAATGTATTCCCCATGACTACAGACAGTTTTTTACCACAACTGTCTTCCACCAAGGCAGGGTGACCTAAAAAAAGAAGGTAAAGTTTTTCTTTTTTTTATATTTAGTAATTTATACAGAAGGGGTTACTAGCCCCTTAGTCCCGGCATTTTAGTCACCTCTTATGACACATGGCTTACAGAGGAAGAACTCTTCTCCACTTCCCCACTACCCTTGGCTTCATTGTTTCTCACTCCTCTGTTTAATTTTCTGCTTGTAAAGTAAAAGGACACAAGTGCAACTAATGTGACATTTTTTTTGTGGCAACGTTTCGCTCTCCAGGAGCTTGACAAAGCTCCTGGAGAGTGAAACGTTGCCACAATAAAAATGTCACATTAATTGCACTTGTGTCCTTTTACTTTACATATTGTCGGTAATTCTACCAACATTATTACAATTTTCTGCTTGCTCACCCCATATTCAATATTATCATTACATTCTTGAGGGAGGGTTATACAGAGCCTGGAAAAGCACTATATTCCCCATAGCACATTGATTCAATTCCAATTCAATCTGATAAAATGCATAAGAGAAAATGTACAGTGTATACTACAATGCTTTCAATTCAAATCAAGTTTTAAACCCTCCAGGGATAGTTGTTACCTTCATCTTGGTGAGAAGTCCTGGTCTTTACTAATGGAGTTGATACGATGGTTTGTTTACTAGAGTGCACCGAGCTCACACTATACCTAGAGAAAAATTAAATATTTATTAAAAACTAAATGTGCATATTTTTTAACTAGTTCATTTCCTATCCTTCCTTCAGGAGGTGTATCAGTGCTAGTGAATGGCCCATGATCTAAGGAACTGGAGCTACCCTCCCTTTCCTTGGATCTAACCTAATTACTTTTCATTCCGAGGCACTGCATGATCCTTACAGGATTAGTTTACTGATGGATAAAATTATTATTATGTTGCTTCTTGGTAAATATAAGAGATTTGTTCATTATTATACATAAATGAGGTAAATGAGAAATATAACTGCTATTAGCCCAAACAAAAGGAAATCTTGGATCTTGCTTAGGCATGCAACCAGGAAAAAGAAGTAGCCTTCTTAAGGAAGAAGGCTGATTCAATTTTACTTCATGAAGTCCTAAATCAGCATAAGGACTGGTGGAGGTTTGATCCTTCATCAACCGGCTGTGGCCCTTTTGCTGATCAGTCAGGCTCTCAACAGAGGATAAAATGATAAAATAAATTAAAACTTACCTGAGCATACACTTGCCACTGGGGATCGCAAGGGATCTGAGTGTGGTGGTTTTTAGTTCTTCACCTCTGATCCTGCGCATGGTAAACACAATGACAGGCTCACACTCACTATCAGGAGAAGGAAGCAGGTTTCCTGATTTACCACACTCTTCATGGTAAGTCAAAATTTCCCACAAAGTAGCTGATGAAAGAGATACAAAATTTTATCAATCAATTTGAGTTTTTGCATCAAACACCAAAACAGACAAAAATTCTCATCATTCCAGTGAAACAATTCCTACTGCTTTTATTAATCACAAAGAAGTACATTATCTGGCATTATTTGTTGCAATTCAAAAAACTTGAAGTACGTATATATTATAAAATATTTGTTAACTAATCACGTAAAGGGTCATGCAATGACTGGAAAATAGAAAGCAATCAGCTTTGATCCAAAGAGGGGGAAGGGTAACTTTCAATTTTGGATCAAGAGGTCTTCACCAGCATCCTTATCCCTATAATGAAATTAAAACAAGACACATTCTCAACCCCATTTTTTTTTTTAAGCACATCCCCCATTTCCCACCGAGGTAGGGTGACCCAAAAAAGAAGAAACACATTTACCACCACTCACTCCATCACTGTCTTACCAGAGCTGCGCCAATACTAGTTTCGAAACTGCAAATACGTATCCCCATGCATTAATTTACATTACAATGAGTAGCATCATAATAATAAAAAATCAATATCATACCAGGCAACTCTCAGAAGAAAACTTGCATAGCTTTATAATCTTTCGACTATTCTCAGAATATGTGTGGGGTTTATAACAGTCATCAAATTAACACAAATATGGTATTACCATTACAATTAATTACTCTATGGCAGTGCTAAACCCATAAGAGCCATGTAGTGCCCAGGAAATGGGAAGTGGCCATAATCAGGTTTGATCTGTGGAAGAAGAGGGTAGTTCAAATTCCTTAAATCAACAACCCTTCACTCAGTAGCACAGCCTCTATTTCAATCTGAGGACAGGCTTAAAAATCACAAGATGGTGAAAAAATCAAAGAAATCACCTTTGAAAACATGATTTTCAGTAAATACAGACAGTGATAGTTTGAATGATGGTGAAAGTGTTTCTTTTTTGGGTCACTCTACCTTGGTGGGAGATGGCCAAAGTGTTAAAAAAAAAAAAAGTGAAATTTCTAAAATCATCATGCTTTTGTGGTCACTGATCAATACAATGAAAATTAGCCATTAATTGAAAAATAAAATTAAAAGTACATGTATTTGCATCTGGGAAATGTTTTAGCCCTCCCTTCCTTGCTGTGCTACTACTTTTCCCAGTATCAAGGCAACCCTGCCATGGCTGCACTACTGCTTTCACTAGTATCAAGGCACCTGCTCACCCTTTGAAGGGAACCCTGCACAAGACAAAGGGTTTTCCCACTCTCCAACAATTCCTTGGAGACACTGTCCCGCAAGTTACATTAGGCTGATTCAGGGAATCTTAAATATTCTTACAACACATTATACCGGCGAATAAAAAAAAAAAAAAAAATATAACTTACTGGTAGCCAGAAAGTCATGTGTAAGCCTTTCTCCAGAATCTGTAGCAATGATAACAGTGACATTTTCCACTGTACGTGGAACATCAGCTTCAACAAGCTCTAGTTGGCACTTATTAGGAAGGCCTGCATAACGCACTGTACTGCTAATATCCAGCATACGATGAAGATGTCTGTGGATGAGTGCATGTGCAGTATTACGAAAAATAAAGTATATTATTTGTTCAAATTCAAGAATAAAAAAAAAAAAAGGCACAATACCATAACAGGTACAATACACAAATACATAGTCTGCACTTGGGAAACTGAAACTAATGATGACATTTGGATTCAATTTGGACCATTAAATAATAACACATAAGCCCCAAGGGAAGGGAGCACGAGTATAGAAGAGAGGGAGCGAGGGATGAGATTAGAGCAATGAGAGGAGGGAATAGAATAAAATAGTAGTAGTAGTAGTGGTGGTGGTGGTAGTGAAAAGAAGGCCAGAGGGTGAGGACTTAGCAAAGAGATAGTAGTAGAAGTAATAGTAAAAGGCAGTCAAAGAACATGAGAATAGAGGAGCACTGCAGGTAACCATTGTAAGAACAGTAGTGAATGTACATGCCACTGGACATTGGGTCGTCATAAAATAAAAATAAAAGCCTGTCGCTGAGTGATGGATACACATTCAGGAAAGGAAAGAGTTAGATTCCCATTCAGCTTTGAATTTGATGGAAGGAACAAAAAGTTGGAAGAGACTAAGAGTCACATGGCTCTAATCTGAATGGATCTAACTCTCTGTTTCCTCTCCTGGATGTACATGTCCATCACTTGACTACAGGTTTTCCTTTTCTGTACATTCACAGCTTTTCTTACCATGTTTTCTCTGTCAAGATAAGTGTTCTTATTTCTCTCTTTCTCCATGCCATTCACCTCTGTGATCCTCAGTTTCTTCATTAGAAATTTCCACCCTTCGCAATTTGTTCTCTTGCCTTGGCTATCCTTCCTATCTTATAAATTCTGCTACTCTCGACTCACAAATCATAACACAATTGCAAACAAGTCATGGAATAGGTAGGTTTTGAACCCAAACTCTTCAACCTCCCTAGAAGTCTACAGATATGCTACAAAATAGTTCCCAGAGGTAAAAATGTATGAATTATGAAGAATGTATAAAAATGTCAAAAATGTCCTCAGTGATAGATAAGAGGATATATACTATTTAATGAGTATACTTTTGTGAAATGTTAAACTCAGGTAGGTCATTCAGCACAAGCAATGCTGGAGGCTTGATCCTCCAACCAATGAATGTGAGACAAACATGCTACCAAGTGGTACCCTACTGTAATTGCGGAAAGGAAGAGGGTGAACCATGACATTCATATGCAAAATTTAAAAAGAATTATAATTTTTATGCATTTTTTAACACTATCATTTGGGAGAACAATAAAACATAACTTTAAAATAAAAAAAAAACTGTTTCAAGAGAACTCTGAGCTATATTTCTTCAAATATGGTAGTTACAGATTGCCGAGATAGAACTCCAAATGTTGTACTGCTTGCTACAATCACTGACAAATATCAAACAATTATATGACAAATTAGACAAGATAAAACCCCATGAGGGCAGCTCTGCTCCTGTAACTATAAGTTGGTAATTGTAAATGGAGAAACTCTTATAAATGAATGAATATGAATCTCCTAGTTTTCAAATATTTTATTAAATAACCTAATTACTTAAAGTACTCATTATGTGCAATATTAATTTTTTTTCATTATACAGTGGACCCCCGCATAACGATCACCTCCGAATGCGACCAATTATGTAAGTGTATTTATGTAAGTGCGTTTGTACGTGTATGTTTGGGGGTCTGAAATGGACTAATCTACTTCACAATATTCCTTATGGGAACAAATTCGGTCAGTACTGGCACCTGAACATACTTCTGGAGTGAAAAAATATCGTTAACCGGGGGTCCACTGTATATGGTTAAATAAACTCTTACAAACTGCAAAATTATGAAAAGATTTCATACACATTATCAACATTATAAGTTTTTTTTTTTCAACTAACCGGCCATATCCCACCAAGCCAGGCTGATGTTATAAGTATTACCAATAAAAAGTTATTTAAGATCGGGTGGGTTGCACTAAACTTTATAGAGAAAATCTTACTTGAGTTTATACTGGTCTGGGTTGAAACCTTCCTTCTTGCATGCATCTTCAATGATCTGAAAAGTCAAATTTATGCATCAGCGTACGAGTGTGTTAAAAAGGTGGAAAATACGAGTGTTACAAAGATGGAAAATACGAGCATATTACAAAGGTGGAAAATATGAGTGTTACAAAGGTGGAAAATACGAGCATATTACAAAGGTGGAAAATATGAGTGTTACAAAGGTGGAAAATACGAGCATATTACAAAGGTGGAAAATATGAGTGTTACAAAGGTGGAAAATACGAGTGTGTTACAAAGGTGGAAAATACGAGCATATTACAAAGGTGGAAAATATGAGTGCTACAAAGGTGGAAAATACTGCAGTAAAATTTTCTAATACACATACAGTTCTACTATCGAGTATATTATTATTATAATCAGGGGGAGCGGTTAACCCGCAGGGATTGTACAGCACCTGGGGGGTATTGGAAGGTATTCAGGGTCAATTCAGGGAACTGGAGCACAGATCCAATTCCCTATATCAAGAGCCCCTCACCAGCATCAAGGAACCTCCCTTGAGAGGGGGACCCCAATAGAAATAAACCTTTTTTTGTTATAACTGGTAATTTATACATACGTTCAAATGTATGATAATTATAATCATCTAAATTTGCGTAATTCTACTCACCTAGTTGTGGCTGCAGGGGTCGATTCATAGCTCCTGGCCTCTGTACTTATGTACTATTAATTACAAGGATCCCAATGGAAATAAGTCACTTTTAGGTTATCCTATATAATTTACACATCTGTTAAACAATGTATGATAACTGTAGTTATATACAGCTATACATAATTAAAGTTATTTACCATGAGTAGTTATTATCATAGATGAGAAACTCCCAAGTCATGGAGAACCTCATGACAAGTATTTAAAGTTATAACAGTAATACTGACCTGCAGGATGCTGGTGTTGGGTGTCACAGTAACTACAACTCTCCTGCCATTGGGACACAAAACTGTCACACAAGTTCCTGCCATAATTCACACTATAATAACTTGTTAATCTTCTTCTTGATCTTCTCCTTCGTCTTGTTCAGGTTGTTAAGGGACATCAAAGCTCATGATTAAAAAGTGAAAAATGAATGAAGTTAATATAGAAGTTTATTTTTTTTGCTAAGGTTACAATATGTGTTTTACATTTTATAATTTGATTGGTACAAAAAAATACACTATCAGTCGAGGCATTTCTGGCAGACTTAAACTAATACTTATAGTCTACTGAGAATAGACAATAACTGAAGACTAGTACAATAAATACAAATATTTAATATTTCACTCTATATTAATATGAAGTAATACAATTTATGATACAATTATACATTTTTAAGTTTGTAATGATGGCTTAATAGTTATGGGATAATTAAATATTTGGGAGAGTTCCCATAATATAATTTCAATATTTATTATTAAAACTATTGTAATTAGAGTAAAATTACTGTCAACTATAAATACAAAAAAAGATGTACAACTTAAACAAACTATGATCAATTTCTTTAGTATTAAGTAGTCAGTAAGACATTAAATTAAGTCTGCTCATAATACCTAGGCATGATAGTGCTGCAGCTCATTATTGTAATTTCATAATCTTAATATAATCTTGCAAAGAAATAAATCTTGTTTATTTGTTTGTTTTGTTTAGCATGGTATGAGTATGTTTGTTACTGTGAGATGAGATGATTGTTAAGTTTAGTCCTAAACTGATTTGTGGGCAGAGGATCTCTTGCTGTTTCAGGCAAATAGTTCATGATAAACTTGATTTCTATAAAAATTAATTTACAATTTATACTGTAAAGTTGATATTATTGACACTATAGAAAGCCCCTGGTTAGGCAGAGAATTTCCAACAGTTTTAATTTAATTTATAACTATTAGTGGGTTTTTTTCAAGAATATTTGCTAGAAGTTTTAGTAAGAATTTTCTCAATGGAAATCAGTCAGTTTGTCTGACTTTTCTTTGCGTTATCCTGGGTAATTTCAACTATATATGATAATTATACTTGTGTACCTGTACCTAAATAAACTTACTAGCATATGTGGAGGTTATTACTAATATTGGTCAAATATTTGTATTTACAAATGCACCTTAATGAGGCCAGCTTTTCAGGAGTCCGGGATAAATATATTATCCGAATATGAGCTGGGTTTAAGAAAACCAAATTTTTTTCCTTGGAAGGAAAAAAGGGTCAATACGCTAATAGTTAAGTCAAGTGGACAATGAGCTGAGGTAGGATAACAGCTCTTAGCCTATAAAATAGATTTGTGTAAAAAAAAAAATTATCTCAACCCCGGACACCTACACACAACAGGCTTTTCCATAAGCTAGATGATAGTGAATATCTGAGTCAACAACAACAGGCTTTTGTATGCCTTAGATTAGAAGGTACTGGTAAACACTTAAGTCAACAACAACAGGCTTTTGTATGCCTTAGAAGGTACTGGTAAACACTGGTAAACGTCTACACTGCAAACTGAATTGTTTGCAATCCTAATGGCGCTAAAGCTAACCTATGACACTTAGCTTGACTCTATCATCATTACTGATTCTATGTCATCATTGAAGGCTCTTGGCTCATATAATGACTCCAACAACATGCTCATTGGGGAAGCCAGGTATAGATACTCAAAAATTAGGGACAAAGGAATTAAATGTACAATTGCTATGGATCCCATCACACATTGGATTACTCCTTCATGATAAAGTTGGATATGTTAGCCAAAAGAGTATCGAGAAGGAGAATGTAGAATATAACTATGGTATAACTGGAGTTCTAGCATTAGGAATAATATTTTTAGGAGAGAATAGAAGAAAGAAAGATTGTTTATAGGAATGCAGTTAGAAGCCTGAGAGATCTATAAACCCACTATGATAACATGAACGTAGATAAGTATGTTTAATGGAGCAACTTGCAATGTGAACAGACGGAACTGAATGTTGAGTGGCCAGGCTTAGGCTTGGTTACAAGTATGACTGATGTTGGTAGTGGCCAGGACTCTAACTTAGGCTTTGGTTACAAGTACTGACTGATGTTGTAGTGGGCCAACTTATGCTTGGTTTACAAGTACTGACTGATTTATAGTGGCCAACTTAGGCTTGGTTACAAAGTACTGACTGATGTTGTAGTGGCCAGAGCTTAGGCTTGGTTAAAGTACGACTGATGTTGTAGTGGCCAGACTTAGCTTTGTGTTACAAGGACTGACTGATGTTATAGTGCCATCTTAGGCTTGGTTACAATCCTGACTGAGTTGTAGAGGCCAGCCTTAAGCTTGGTTACAAGTACTGACATGTTTGTAGTGACCAGCTTAGGCTTGGTTACAAGTACTTCTGGCAGTTTGGAGACACACAGATGAATATCAAGACTATATGTAAATTATTGTGATCAGGTATATTGTCACTCTCTTGAACACTATTGCATAATTGTCCACATATTGAGAATACAGAGGACAGACAGTAATAATAACCTATGTACATATCACGATGATCTATTAATGAAAATAAGATACCGAGATATACTAAAGCAAATTTCCTAAATTTGCCTGTAACAGATAAGTAACTATAGATAAGTAGATTATAAATCCATATGTATTCCTGTTAACCCTTTGGGGCCTAGTTCCTTTGGCCCTTTGTGTATCCCATAGCTTACGCAGCTATCCGTCCACAGGATTGGATATGGGGTGCACAATAAAAAAAATAAACTAGCCACTTCCGTGGCAAAATCAATCATGTAAACACTTAAGTCAACAACAACATGCTTTTCCAATATATAGGGTTATCCATGACGGTTAATTTTCTGGATTAAATTATAAGTAAGTAATAAGTTTTAATTCATATTACACAAATACAGTTAGAACATAGAATTATCATACACAGCAGCAAATGTGTAGAGAACCTAGGATAACCCAAAAAAGTCAAGTGGACTTATTACCACTCAGCTTACACAATGAGGTCCGAGATCGAATCCCCGGTATAACAAGCTGGAAAACATTAGACGTGGTTTTCCTTAAGACACCCTGCTTCCCCGTCCTGTTGTTAGTGGACTGGTGTGGGCGCATCTTGGGACAAAACCAGACTCTAATATGCCAAAAGGCTCTGCATAACAAGGCGGCTTTCTATATAGTAGTATTCCACGATGTCCAGCTATGTCTGTCTGCCCTTGTACATGTACTTGTAGAAATAGAAATATTGTATTATTATTATCCTCGGCTGTAAAAAAAGGGCAGTTTAGAATGATAACAAATTCTCACTACAGGCAGCACACTCCACCAATATTCAAAAACACTCACAACCTACAAGACCTCATCTTCACTAACAATGATGAACTTGATAAGAAATATCACATTCACGCAATCAAAAACACTAAAACTCAGAACACAACATAATTGAGGTTCAGACATTTACGCGTGCAGCCCAGACCGACAAAAATAGACTAAGTCACAGGGAGCTCACCAAATTCAACTTCATAAACAAAAACATAAAGTGGACCAAGTAAACCAAGTCCTAACCGATATAAGCTGGGAAGATATACTAATCCAACAAGACCCCAACTTATGTCTAGAACAGATTAACACGGTGTCACTCCGATTATCACAAGGCTTATTCCTCTAAGAAAAAGGGGAGTAGATTAAAACAGAAAGAGACAGGCGCTCCCTTTACAGGCGTACGAAAAGAATAACAGGAGCGGTCATAAAAGAGGTCAATATATCTGAAATGCGGAGGGAGAACACTGGTCAGAGAAATAGCAAGCACGAACTTAATCTAAAAGAATCCCTTTAGTAGTTGGAAACGCGGAAGAACTAAAAGCATAAATTGAAATCGAAGAAACCCAAAAGTATTTCTCTCCTATGCCAAATCAAAATCGAGAACAACGCCAGTATTGGGCCCCTACTTAAACAAGATGGGTCCTACACAGATGACAGCCAGGAGAATGAGTGAGGATACTCAAGACCCCAATATGACTCAGTTTTTAGCAAGAGCCGCTAACCAGACTGATAGTCGAAAATGATCAAAATGAAATTTTTATGAGAGAGCCACAAAATTGATTAACACAAGCCTACCGTATTTATCCTGATGCCAATGGACTTTCGAAACAGGCGATAAATGGACATGCCCATGCACTCTGCCCCAGGCCCAGACTCATGGAACTCTTGGTTCATCAAGAACTGCAAGAAGCCCCCTATCACGAGCCTTTTTCCATCCTTAAATAAACAGAAAAGGAACAATAACCGCGACTGGAACGATACACAAATATCCCGCACATAAAGAAGAGAAGCTTACTACGACGTTTTTCGGTCCGACTGGACACATTGAAAAAGTCAACACAAACAGAGATGGAGCAGGACTGCTATATATAGGCAGGAAGAGGTGGCGGTGGTAGTAGTATAAGTAGAGTACAAGAATGTATAGAAACCGACAGGAGAAATGAACTATACATGCACAACACCCGGGCCATCCCCACCGTAGACTTCGCCATCCAGCCAGCCCACTGGATGGCGAAACGTCCACAACAAAGACAACCAGACGCCGCACATGTGTCCTTAATTTTCATCAGTAGAGTTTAGTAGAAGAACAAGAGGTAGTGTAGTGGTAGTGTAGAAGTGGGAAATAAGGAAGACGAGCCATCAAATAAAAGGACGGGGAGCACTGCAAGAGAGCTAGAACCCACAGAGGGAAGCAAGCGCACCGGGGTGGCGTGAAAGGGAAAGTGGTGATATAAAATAAATAAATTGAGAATGGAACAGAAACACGAAGAACAGGAGAGAGAAAGACACCCAGAGGAGAAAAGGAGAGAGTGAAATGGGAAGAAGAAGAATAGAAGAAAGAAAAGAAGAAGAAGAAGAAGAAGAAGAGAAGAAATGATGATTCAGGTTAAGTCATGGGTGTTCTGAAGTTGAGCATTTTACAATGTAGTGGGAGAGAAGGCATCTACAGATACGAAGCCAGGAGGCTAAAGGTTCTTACAAGGAAAGTTTGGTTATTAGAGAGGATTCAACTAAAGACGGCGACTGTTCGAGTTTGGAAGTAGGGAAGACAGTTTTAGCATAAGACCCAGTCCAATAGGAT